CATTCATCTCGAGTTCTTAAAGCCTTTTCCTTCACTTCACGTTCTGAACTTACTTATATTTTCAACAGCCTTCTTTATTGTTTGATGATCTATGCAAATCTCCTTTGATAGAATGCGGACATTCCCTCACTCGATAACTTTGTTATTTTCTGTTTTTCAGCAGTTCTTAGATCCTTCCCTTTACCCATGATTAAACATATATTATGGACAAAAAAAAGTTTTATTAGATTTTTAGAGGTCTTAAGCTAATATTAGTTTAATCTGTATACTAACTTCAGTCAGTCCGTTTTTGTAGATTCCAAATATCTCAAAAACTGACCATTAAAAAAGGCAGAAAACTTAGTTAAATATTTTGCTATGGGTGGAAATGAATGAGTTTAAATTTGACAAATATTGGTTTAGAACTTTTTGAGTTATTGAGGTTTATTTGATTTGCATTATGACTTCAGACAGGCTGTATATATAAAAGTTGACACTGAGGTCAACAGTGGGTGGCGACAGTCTGCTGTTTCATGTTTGAACACAATCTTCATTCTTGAAGCATGAAACAGACTGACGCCACCCGGTTTTGACTTCAGTTTCCACTTTTATATTTATGCACACTCTATCCTTGATATTGTGCACTTTTACCCATAAATATAACATACCTTAAAACTATTAAGCATTACTCTTCAAGTAAATTGAATTGAGTTCTCCAAGCCGCTGGCATATTTTGTATAGAGAAAAACGTTAAAATTCCCTTCCTTTCTGCTGTGTGACGATGGCCTAGAGGTAAGATATCTGATGACTGATATCAAATCAGTTGAGTCTCAATCCTGGCTTGAAGCAATTAAACATCTAGCCACACTGAGGAGCTGTGATACAGTGAAACAGTCTGTCTGTGAATGACTATATATATATATATATATATATATATATATATATATATATATATATATATATTAATAGAGACTCTCCCATCAGTTTCGACATATGAGGATCTGACAACTTAACCAATTGATTCAGTTATGAATTTTGTGCAATAATCTTAAGTGGCACTAAAGACTCGCTAGTGATTTACAAAAGAGGCTGTATATGGAGCAAGAATGAGGATTGTGGGATGAGAACACTGTTAGATTGGCTGACCTTTTAAATCTTGCCCTCGCTTCTTGAAGACAATTCAGACTAGCAAATTGAAAACTGCTGAATCCACTAAAACACATTGATCTCCACTCTACCCGCTCCAAGGCTAAGTGCTCGAGTGTGTTATGAGGTATATTGACAGCTGACAATTTTCTTTTCAGCTTGTCTTTGTATCTTAGCCATGGGCGTCCTACATTCCTGTAGCCCTGATCTAACTCGCTGTACATTAGGATCTTGGGTATCCTGTCATCAGACATTCTCAAGACATGACCAGTCCACTGTAACTGAGACTGCATGATAAAAGTCTCAATTCCTCCAATATTACACCTGTTAAACAGGTCTACGTTAGATGTCCTATCTTGAAGGTTATCTCCGCAGATGACGCGCAGACAGCTTTTGTTTATATATATATATATATATAAAGAGATGCAAAAAGATTTTTCCTTCTCATTCTATATAGAGTATAGAATCCCAACCTGAAGATGGTAGTGCTGTTGCTGTAGCGACCATACCAACTAGGCTTTTTATGGGATGGATTTGCTACTCTTATACTCAACAAGTTTTAAATTCAGAGTTATACATCTCATAGACTGGTTGCTAACCAAGGCTATAGAGCCTAGCCAACCCTGTTATTTAATCCATAGTTGATGGCAGCAGAGACTGATTCATACCCTTCCAAAGGGGATTTGTGCAAAAGCAAATCCAATGATCTTGACTGGAATTTGAACTTGGCATGCTGATTCCATATTTTACATCATATGTGTGTGGCATCCATCAGCCTTGAGAAACTGTGGATCTGCACCCAAAGAGTTATGCCTTGGCGGTGCAGCATGTTATGACTGTACACGCCCATGCAGGAATACAATGGGAAGACACTCTCCCACAATGTTATCTTGTTGTTTTCTTTCCATCAAGCATGCTTCTCCCCGTTCTTGCTCTAGTCCTTCTTGTAAATCACATCTCTAGCGTGAGCAATCATTGGTGATGTCTTCCCATCTCTCAACATATATGTTCCTCACCTTCATGTCTCTTTTGCAGACGAAGTGAAAATGAAGTTGTCCTCATACCTTCCTGCCAGTGACCAGTTCCCCATACAGAAGGACCTTTGGAATCCTCCCATCCAGCATACAGTGTCAGCACTCCCATCCAGCAGAGCTGGCACTTTTGGAGAAGGTTGTATAGGCTTGATAATTTGGCATGTATGAGAACTATAGCATTAGTGACCCGGTCAGATCAATTAATGACCATATATATATATATATATATATATACGTGCTCCTGAAAAATTATTTAGGTGGAGATCTCTGGGGAGAAAGTGTGAGTTTATAAACAGTGACTAATAATGCTACAAAAGTAGTACTCTTCAATAAAATGAATTGAGTTCTCTCAGTCACTTGTGTGTTTATCTAAAAATAAATACACTTAAATTCACCTTCATCCCTGCCATGTGCCAACGGCTTAGGGGTAGATTCTCTGACTGACACCAATTCAGCCGGGTTTTGATCCTAGCTAGAGGCAACTGGACATCTAGCCACACTGTGATAGAGCAAAACAGTCTGTCTGTGGATGACAATATATACATAAAACAGTTGAAACCTAACCTAAACAAAATAAACTATGAAATCTCCACAAATATTCTTAAATGTCTATAATTGGTAACAGAAGCCATTGGTTTATACCAACAGCTTCCCATACTTAATACTTCTCGAATTCACTCTCACGTGGTCATGTGTGACGTCATGAGCTGCGGTGCGATTTTTGCTTCCAGCATCTTATATGCACGTGTCTATCGTTGCTTGGAAATCATCCATGTAAACAGAAACAGACTATCATCACATTCTTGTCCGTATATTGCTTAATATATTGTACTGTAATTTTCATCTTTGATAATGGCTTATGTAAGCCAAAAGCTTAGATTGTATTAAAAAAAATATGTATCAATATTGTGATTTTCTTTCTTCGTTTAATGATAATGTAATTAAGCTTATCAGATGTTATGAAAAGAATTTACATAAAATAAATAGACGACACTTGTCTATATTATTTAATGAAACATGTATGAATATATATATATATATGCACATTATTACACATGAAACTTATTATTTCAGCCTTATTTTATTAAAGCGAAAAAAGGAAAAATTCAAGGGATTTTATATGGCATCAAATATGGTATGTTGTGGAAAGGACAGTGTAATTGGAACATTATAATACAGTATAATCTTTTATATACATTGTTGTATCAAGATGGAGTTCCAGCTTATGTAAAAATACCCAGTTTAAGTCCAAGCCTGCTGCAAGAACAGATAACTCAATTATTATCCAGGTAGTTCATTATCTTCTATGTACCATGTCACTTCAGGAAGTTGGTGATCATGGCTCTCCACAACTTCCTATCCTTTGTAACTCTTAACAATGTTTGTCTTTTTACTTTTCCATTCCTGTTCTACCATACATTTACACAAGCAAAATAAATTGCTCATTGTTTCCCCGTCTCTCTTGCCTTGAGTGTGCCTAATTTTCTAACCCTTCTTTCCTCATTATCTGTTCTACCAGAGACTGCATGGTGGTATTTATTTCTCATTCTCATTAAGAAAAATCTGATATAAACTCGATTTAATTCCCACACATTTTTGCATATGAGTTCAGAAATTATCCACAGGTGTCAAGGTGTACTCTATCTTCTCAGGGTAAACTTATTTAATGTGAAACTTGTGCCTTGTGTTTTTTCACGATTTCTTTAACATTTTGCGACAGACTTAAGAGGATCACGGCGGTTGAGAATTACTGCCTTAACGTAACCCTCTACCGCGAGTGGCTCCCGGGCCCTGGAATAGGATGAACCTTACTGTAAAAACAAACAAAAAAACAAATGAATACACCGGCCTCTGGGTGGGGGAATATTTAACTGATTTGAACAGCTGGATTAAATAAATAACAATGTTTTTATTTTAACTAAAAGTGTTACGCTGTTCTCTATGTTATTTTAATATTAATCTTGTCATTATATAATCATCAAATTATTATTATTTTTTTTTTTTTGAAACACTAATTTTTCATCACTCAATTACGTAATAATTTAATACTTAATTGATTCTTTTTTTTTTTTTTCCACGTTCCATACTGTCGGTGTGTACAGAAAAAATCGTTTTTGGATCCATTACGATTTGATTGTAATTTTTTATTCAAACAAATACAGTTTATCCTCCTATGAAATTGCCAACACGATTGCAACAAAAACAATATCTCTCTTCCTCTTTTTCTTTCCGCCTCTTTATTTATTTATTTATTTATTAACCGGCCAATTCATTCCAGCCCATTACAATCTATTGAAACAGCTAATCAGTCATTCAACAAAGCAGTCCATCAAACATCTCGCACATACACTTACGTATTCCCTCAATCACATGCTAAGAAGAGAGAGAGAGAGAGAGAGAGAGAATGAGAGAGAGAGGGGGGTGAGAAGTGAGAGGTATCAACAGCAGCTTTGCCATGAGCACTGTTGTTGTTGTCGCTAGTCACTGGCTGTCTCCATGTGTTAACAGGTAGTTGCTGTGCCACAATCGGAATAAATAGCAATAAATTATAAAAAGGTCAAGAGAAAGTAAAGTAAGCAGCTAAGAAGAAGTGAACAAATCTAAAATGAGACAGTGAGAAGAAAAAGAAAGATAGAGTGAAGGAGGCGCAAGTTAGCTGCTGAGAAATGCGTCTCTCTCTCTCTCTCTCTCTCTCTCTCTCTCTCTCTCTCTCTTGCATGCAATTCATTTATCTCATCTTTCAGTTTCAAGTATAACATTATTTTTCCGATCCCAAATAGCCGATTCATTATATATAAGTGCATTTGTTAGCCTTTGTTTGCGGTGATAAATGTAAAGAGATTATGATAGGTAGATGATGAAGAGATTTAGATAGATAATGAAGGGATGATAGATAGATAGATAGATAGATAAATAGATAGATAGATAATGAAGAGAGGATAATAGATAATGAAGAGATGATAATGAAGAGATTAAAGATAGATAAGAGATGACAGATAATGAAGAGATTAAAGATGGGTAAGAGATGATAGATAACGAAGAGATTACAATGAGATTAGATAGATAGATAGATAGATAGATAGATAGATAGATAGATAGATAGGCAATGAAAAGATGATAGATAGATAGATAGATAGATAGATAGATAGATAGATAGATAATGAAGAGGTCATAGATAATGAAGAGATGATAGATAATGAAGAGGTTAATGAAGAAATGATAGATAGATAGATAGATAGATAGATAGATAGATAGATAATGATAGATAGTTAATGAAAAGAAAGATAGATAGATAGATAGATAGATAGATAGATAGATAATGAAGAGGTCATAGATAATGAAGAGATGATAGATAATGAAGAGGTTAATGAAGAAATGATAGATAGATAGATAGATAGATAGATAGATAGATAGATAGATAGATAGATAGGCAATGAAAAGATGATAGATAGATAGATAGATAGATAGATAGATAGATAGATAGATAATAGATAATGAAGGGTCATAGATAATGAAGAGATGATAGATAATGAAGAGATTAATGAAGAAATGATAGATAGATAGATAGATAGATAGATAGATAGATAGATAGATAGATAGAATGAAAAGATGATAGATAATAGATAGATAGATAGATAGATAGATAGATAGATAGATAGATAGATAATGAAGAGGTGATATATAGATAGATAGATAGATAGATAGATAGATAATGAAGAGATGATAGATAGATAGATAGATAGATAGATAGATAGATAGATAGATAGATAGATAGATAGATAGATAGACAATGAAAAGATGATAGATAGATAGATAGATAGATAGATAGATAGATAGATAGATAGATAGATAGATAGATTTCCTCTCGGGGCCTTGAAAAAATATTCCACCACCTTAAATCATTTATTGTCAATCAATTTTATGCTCTATTTTATGTATTTATCTAATTCACCTAAACAGTGCTTACTTAATCTTTTTAATTGTCTCTACACAGTGTTCTGTTCTTTATCGCCCTCTCTCTCCGTCTCTCTTTCTCTTTCGTTTTATGGCGTCTTTGTGCGGCTGCATTAACTAAACATTAACAAATGAAAATAATGTCGATGTATCAAATAGAATCCTCCATGCTTTGCTTCTGCAACCTTTCCTCCTTCGTTCCTTCTTTATCTTCCTTCCTTCTTCTTCTTCTTCTTGCCGCAACCCCCTTGTTCTTTTTTACTCCTCCTGTGTGTAGCCTGAAGCTATGATGTCATAGAGCTGTGTGCATTTTTACTGTCCAAAAGGAATAGGTACAATATTGAATTCAATATCCTTTTTGATTGTCAATGCATACAGAGCAGAGCTATATCGACAAGAAGAAGAACAAGCAAGCAAGCAAGCACACAGATAAAGAGTCAGTTCAGCAGCCAGTGACAGAGATACACACGCACTAGGCAGAGACCATAGGCAGGTTCTCCCCTAACACACATACACAGAGTTTCTCTCTGGTCAACACAACTGCTCAAGCCTTGGACAACAACTGTATATAAATCAATTTGTACAGAATTCTGGCAACCAACCATGAGTTGACTAATTCCGCTAGAACACACAAAACCCACATTATTCAAACGAAATAAACCTCTAACCTCTCTCACTCACGCACACACACACTTCATGTGTGTGAGTTTGTGTCGGGTGGGACAAGGGAGGGAGATTGAAGAAAGGAATGAAAGAAAAAATAAATATTGAAGATGAAGAATTAGTAAAGATTGAGAGAGGAGAGAAGCGGATGGGTATAAATAAAATTGAGTGCAGAAAATATAGGGGAAAGAAAAGGTGGACTTGTTTCTTTTTTTTTTCTTTTCTTTTTTTAGACTCGTGAGTGCTTTGTGATTTTAACCACCCCCTACCCACCTCTATCGTTCTCTCTTTCACTCTCTCTTTCTTCTTTTGTGATGATGGAGATTTTTAACATTAGTTTAATGAAGAAAGAAGACGTAGTGGCTGGCGGGAGTGGAGGTGGTAGAGGGAGGATAATTATCAGAAAAACGGAAAATAATCATAAACAGAAGATGTTTAAGATTATCTTGGCAAAGCCTTTGAATCATTTTATTAACTATTAATAAATAATGGTATCGGCCGACCCTTCGAACATTTGAAGAAATAAATACAAGATTTTTTTATTGCTTTTTTTTGTTTTTGTTTTTTTTAAATAGTACAAACAAACGATTTAATTTTTTTTTTCACACCACGCCTAATTTATTATCAATAAATTAAATATAGACAAAAATTGCTAAATTTTGTTAAAACCATCTTCAATTCCTCCTAAGAGCGCAATTCATAAAAAAAAGTCAATAATGTGGAAAAAAAAAAGAATGAGAAAGTAATTTAGTTAATTTGAATCGATATTTATTTACATGTGGTAAAAATCTGTTTCAATTGATAGTCATTTAAAATACCATCCATATCATCAACCCAATAAAATTAATTCATTTTATTTTTATTTTTAGTTTTTGATTTATTTATTTTTTTAAGTTTTAAATTCAGCTGATTTGAAGCAGTTGTTTGTGTGCATGTTAGAAAAATACAAATAAAGAAGACATTTGTCCTTTTTTTATCACTACCACCCACAGTTTTTCAATAAGATTCGTAATAATATATTATGTCGCTCTTGTCTACACAGCATTCACATTGATACATACATAAACTAAACAGGAAGAATTTATAAATAAAGTGAATGATAGTGATTTTTGCTTTCGTCGAAGCAGGAGGGTGAAAAAGAAAAAAAAAGGGAAAGAAAAGGGAAAACTGACAATTGTTTTCTTTCTAAAATCATCAATTTATTTAGATAATACCTGGTTGGTTTCCGTTCCCATCCCCCACACCCCACTGACTGCTACCTCTCACTCTTTCTCTCTCTCTCTCTTCTCCTTCCCCCTCTCTGTGTCTCTCGATGTTTCTTTCTTTTCCGCGTTTTATTAGGAACAGCTAATATCACGTGCAGTCAGTCAGAAAGAGAGAAAGACAAAGAGCGGTAAAGCGCGAGAGAAAGAGAGAGAGAGAGAGAGAAGGGGGAGAGAAACGAAAGGGTGAGGACTTGGAGTATCAAAATAAGGGGCGCTATAAATGACGAGATGAAATAGACACCAGGGAGCAAAAGGAAAAAAAAAAGAAGAGGGATAGAAAAAGGAAAGTGAATAAGAAAAAAAAAAAAAAAGGAGGTGGACATGCAAAAAGTGAAAAAGAGAAAGTGAAGAAAAGAGAGAGGGGTCAAGGGGGTGGGGGAGAAAGAAAAATTAAAATAATAAAAAATAAAGAGAAAGAGACGATAAATTTGAAAATTTGGGAAAGAAGAGGTGAAAGAAAGAAAGAAACAAACAAACAAACAAAAAGAAAAAGTATGGAAACTAAAAAAAAAAAAGATGATGAAAAACAATAAAAGAGAAAAGGTTAAAAAAGGGAGTAAGTGGAATGTAGTAAAAAGAAAAGTTAACAGAGACTGAAAGTGTAGAGAGAGAAAGACTAGATGACAAGAATAGAGTAAAAAAGAAATAATATGGGAAGTAACTGAAAGAATTATCTAACATTGTTATAATGCCGCTATTAAACGCGAAAAAAAAAACAGGGTGACTGGTTTAGGTGCTAGAAGGAGAAATAAAGAAAGAAAGGATAAGAAAGAGAGGATAAAGAATGATAAATGAGAGAAGCAAAGGTGAAGATAATGATAATGTATTATTAACATGTATTTTTATTTTTATATAGCTTTTCATTACCACGTAAATATGTCTCAAGGAGAGAGAGAAAAAAAATCACACTACTGTTGTTTCCCAAATCGCATACAAGGAGGAAATCAATAGAATGTTTAATTTTCACTCAAGAGTAGAATTTTTATGAGAAACATTTTCTTTAAAAAAAAATAAATGAAATAAAAATTGCATATTTATTTATGCATCAATTGTAGATAAGGAAAAAAAATTAAAAATCAAATTCACTGGTCTATTTTACATACGTAACCTTTCACAAAATTTTAATTGATGATATTGGCATATCAACTACCATTTTTTTAAATGAGAATTTATTTTCTTAAACTCTTTGACTTTTTCAAAACAAGCTATTTTTAAATATTTTTCTAAAATATTACTATTATTATTTTTAAATTTTTCTCCATTTTCGGGAAAAAAAGAAAACTTTATTTAAAAGAATTCTTCAAATTTAAAAGAATTTTTACACTGATTAAACAATCGTTTTTAATCAGGATAAAAATAATTTTTAGATTTTTTTTTTATTAATTGCATTTTTAACACAGTTTAAAAATCGTTCATGTTTTACTTAAAATATTTGAAATTTGATGCAAGTATTTTTAAATAACTCTAAAAAATAATATAAAATTTAAAAAAAAAAACTTTAATTAAGTTTAAGAAAACTAAAGTGAGTATTTCAAAGTACAGAAATATAAACTTGTAAACCCGAAAAATATTTAAAAACTTTAAAAAAACAAAGTAAGTAACTCGAAAAAAATATTTCTTTATTTAAAAAAAAAATTATTTCTTTAATTTTTAAAGTTCTCTTTAAATACCTTGAAGCGATAAAAATAAAATAAAAATAATTAAAAGAGTGTTTTAGGGAAAAACGGATAAATTAAATAACTGTGTAAATTTAAAATTGCAGAGCGAGATTATTTTTAAAAGGATTTTTAAAAAATAATAAAATATTATAGCAAGAAATTATATTAGGTCACGATAAAAATCAAATGAGTCGCAGATTGAAAATGGTGTGTTAATAACGAAATATATCTCTAAAACCTAAATTGCCTGTAGGATAAAGTATTTTTGTGTATGTATATATGTAAACTTCCACTTCTGTAAAATGATACAGTGTATGTGAGGTACAGAATACAGAGAAACACTTTTGTTTGCTTTGTTTCTTTCTTTCCTCTTCTTTCTCCCCACCCACCTCCCCAAGTTTTCTTGCATCTTCTTTGCCACTCACTGCTTTTGCCAATCTCTCTCCCTCTCTCTCCATATCTACCACTATACGCAACTTAAACTATTTTTTTCACATCCTCCCTGCTATTTATTACATTTTAACTTAGCATCTCTTTAAACCATTTTAACACCCATACTTCCTTCTTGCTTGTAAAGTATAAACTTATACAAATACGTACATGTGCTTACCCCCTATCACGTCTATTTTTCAATCCACGCTAACATTAAGCTTTTCTTCTATATGTAATAACTAAGACATATGCACATGCAATCATTTTTTTTTACTTTCCATTGTCCTTTTTTCCTTTCTTTTTTTTACATACTTATTTACATATGTGTGCATTTTCTCTCTCTCACTCAAGTACCCTTTCTATGTGACTGTCATATGTTCTATACAGTCTGTATAGAGCTAAACATTTGTTTACATGTTGTCGATTCATTTCGTCAGTCAGCCAATATCGCTGGTTTGCAACTAATAATAATAATGAAGAGGGAAATAATAATATTAATAATAATCATCACTACAACAAGTAATGAAAAAAGAAAAGAGAAAGCGACAACGGTGAAAGTTGTAGAGAGTGTAGCAGTTGTAATAGTCGAGGTAGCCATCACCAGTAATAATAGTAACACACACAATACATTTATACTTGATGCATATACAATTATTATACGTAATCGCACACCTATATAAATGTGTAAACAAAACGCACACATCTAAGCGTCAAGTACAATAAAGATAATAAAAATGCATATAATTTTTTTAATACACAAAAAAGGCAGAGAAAGTAAGAAAAAGTCACACACAATGTATTTACATATTATTTTATTTATATTAGAAGCAAATTATAGAAATGTACAGAGAGAGAAACGGAAACATTTCATCTAACAAATGCAGAAACACAGGGGAAAAAAAAATCACTTTTTTAAATGTTATATACCAATTTAAAAGACGTGTTTTCCCCGACAGCTGACACGCATATACACATAAATCCGCAGCACACACATATTTAGTCACACGTGCTTCTTACATGGAAACAAATAAAAGCGAATACCTAAACCTTACAGAGATAGACACACATAAACATACACATGTATGTAACAAGACAGAAAGAGATCGCTTTTTCTTCTCCTTCCTTTCAATGTGCGTGTGAGTAGTGCTGCTAGCTGCTTTGCCTTGTCTTGTTTTTATTCTCCTTTTTCTCTCCCTCTCCTCCCCCCCCCCCGTCCTTCTTCTACTTCTCCTTCTTCGTTCCTTCCCCGGCGCCATAGTGTGGCACCAAAACGTATCACTTACCATCATCGACCAATCAAATTGCACTATTGTCGAGAATGGGACAAATTGTTTCAACGGGAGTCATATTGGGGGGAACTAGGTCACTGATCTGGCACTAAGATTCATTATTAATCCCAAAAACCGGCATTTTGCCCGTCGCCTATATTCTACATCGATTGGAATTTGTATAGCGACTGGTTAAATCAACGATCTAGCCGCCCTCGCTCGCTGGGCTGGCCGTGAAAATTCGAAAACGGTCCCAAAGTGGCCTGATCAGAATCTCAATTCTCCCTAAGAATAGGCCAGCGTCTGTTATTTCGTGGCAGCCATATTGCATGGCCAATTGTTCAATGGAGCAACTAACACATATTCCGTTTCAATTTATGTAATTTTTTTTGGTGTCAAATCCACCAAGCCTCGGTCGATGTGGATATTATTAAGCAGCGGAAAGCCTGCAGAAGAGGACTATAATATACAGGAATCGATACCGATGTAAGTAAAGTTGAATTTTTACAGATAAATTTCTTCGAGCAACAGCTTAAAACAAACCCCCTCCCGCACATATGTGTTCGAGAATATATATTTTTTTCTCTCTAATTGTATTATCGTTTTTTTGCGTCATCTCTGATCTCGTAGCTGTGACGGTTTCTTGCTTTTCTCAAGCTGAGGAAATGTTGCCTTTTCTTTAATCTTTAAATTTTACCATATTTTATTTTTTTTAAAAAAATATTCGAGTCCTTAAAAATGTCTTCATTATTATTAGTAATATTATTTTGTTTTGAAACTGGTGAGGTGGTTGGACCGCCATTTTTCTTTCACGGCGAATGGCCGCCTTAACCGTGTCTGCTGCTTTACGAGAAAAGTCGCCATTTTACAAACCCCCTGAACAAATGTATCTTTTCAACTTTGTGTGTGTGCTTTTATTTTTTTTTTTCACCCCCCCTCCTCGCACCTTATGTACGTATTGGCGCTATTAACTTAAAAAAAGTTGCCATTTCATTTAACCCCTAAAAATCTTCTCGGATTTTCCCCCCTTTGTGTCGGCTAGTCTAAGTATATACATAAGTACTATATGACTTTTTTTTAAGACGGTGATGACTGAATCGACTTCTTTCTCGCGTATTTTTTTAGCTTTCTCTCCTCACAAACCAATTATGTACCAGATCACAGCTTTCTTAAATGTCCGTATTCATCAATCAAACATTACTTTGTATTCTGTTCTTTCTTGGTTATTTATTTTCCTTTATCTACATGTTCACTCCCCGACAATATTTCATTTTTAAAATGACTTAAATGGCTTTCTTTCTCTACCAACTAATCTCCCAATTATAATAAATACGTGGATCGTTCTGTTTTTTTTTTTCCTTTCTTTCTTGATTTATTTAGAGGTGTATAACGTTCATAATTTATTTCATTGTTACTATTTTTAAAAATTCTAATTACCTATATTCAAACGTTGGTAAACAATAATTTTTCTCAGTACACATTTGAAAACGGTGGCTTGGATGTGGCCATCGAAACAAATAATGAAGATCTAAAAAAAAAAAAAAAAAAAAAAGCGAAAAAGAGAAATAGCGCTTTAACTATTTTAAGAAACCCCTTTGTTACATATCCAAAGTAGTTGTATCTACTGATTGTCGATTTTAAAATAATTTACACGTCTATTTTTATCGTTTAGACAAAAAGATAGTGGCCGCATTTTTAAAATAATGTCTATTTCTATTATTAATCATAAACTTGTGTCTTTGTGAAATTGGTTTGTTTTTGTTTTAAAGATTATTTTTAAAATTTCTCGTTTTATTTCTCATTCTTCCTTTTCTACATTGGTTCTTTTGTTGTTATCGCATTGTTTTTTGGGGGGATGGGATCCAGTAACTTGCATATTTTTTTTTTTTTTTTTTTTTTTTAATATAATTTTACGAATATTTAATTTTTTATTGACATAATTAATTTTGTCTTTATTCTGATTTTTTTTAAATCTGTATTTTCTATACCGATTTTTCTATTTTCTGGCAGGTTTTCGACAACATCGGAACACGTGGAAATAACAAGATGCAGTTTTTGTGTCAGCATCAATTTTTCTTAATATTTTTAGGCAATCCTTGTTGGAAGACTAACACAGGAGCTATGTGAATTCTTTCTAAGAAACCGGAGAATTTTTTTCCTTTTTTCCTTTCCTCGCCAATTGGCATTTGTTTGCTTATTGTTTTTCTGGGGCCTGGTGAAGGTGTATTAAAAGGATAAATAATACATACACATCTATTTTAATCCACATATATTTAAAAAAAAAATATAATCAAAGAAATTGATGAATTTTTACACTGATAGGTGTGTGTATATATATAAATATACACTTCAGTGTGCGTGTGTGTGTATGTGTGAGTGTGTGAGTATTTGAATAAAATCAACTTTATCCCATCCAAAATCCATGATCAGGTTGGATCTCAAATGTTTTGGATTTTAATATCTCGCTATTTTGGTTGCTTTTTCAACAACTATACGCCATCATTGTGGTCTGTAGAAGAAGCCACAACACCAACGACTCCAGCTATTGTTACAACTGATTGTAACTGTCTTTGTAGCAGCGTTAGAACTCTACCATCCAGAAGATTATCATCTTTCAGCAGTATACGTCCAGTGTCGTTACCCTCGTGGGTCATATTGAAAAAATCTTATAATGTTATAAAAAGTTGTTTGTCGGGTCATGCTGAATTGTTCCTGTTCAACTGCAGCCAAATATGGTGAGAGAAGCTAAGGATTCCTTGCAGCCCGGGCTTGCGAACCCAAACTACACAAAGTGGCTCCTCGACGCCATCCGCAAGATCAAGCACCAAAAACAAAGGCCGAGCATTGACAGGATCTGCAATGCTGTGCGCCAGTTCCACAAGGTGAGCCGCGATACAATCGAGCATCAACTGGAGTTGTGCGTCAAAGAAGGAACGGTCCTTAAGGTTTACAACAAGGGGCTGTGTTCCTACAAGGACCCCAAACGAGTGTCCCAACTGAAAAGTCGCACGCTCAAGATTGGTAAGGGCTCCGATCTGGTCAATTTGATTGTCAAATCGGTGAAGGAACTTGGCGAGATCGGCGGCTCCAATCTGAAAAACATCGAGAAGTACATATGCCGCAGTTACAATGTCGACTTGCCGGACGGCATAAACCTTAATCAGCAACTCAAGTTGTGGCTCAAGAAAGGGATCAAATCTGGTCGTTTGGTCCAGTATGGCCGACTGATTAGAGTCGGTTACAGCAGCGGCGAGTCTGATTCGGTGGAGGGCAGCAGTGAAGGTGGCAGTGTGGCCCCTGCTGGTCATTTGGATGATGAAATGTCGTCTGTCAGAAGCGACAATTCGCTGACATTCGCCGCAAAAGCCAGCAAGGTCAGTATAAACAAACGCTTTATTTATATTCTTTTCTTTTCCTCCAAAAATATTGTTACACATCTTGGAAAAAAATCGCATTTTTAAACCCACATGACAATAAACACAACATTGCAAAAACCTGATTGTTCAAAACCTATTTTGACATTTATTTCAGAAAAATAATTTTGATATTTTTTAAAATTGTCCAAAATTCATTTGTGCAAAAATTGGCGTGTTTTTTTTGTTTTTGTTTTTTAAAACAAAAAAAAACATTAAAATGATTTGCACGTGGTTTTGTTGTCATAGATTTCTGATCAAATGTTTGATATTTCATATTTAAATTCAAGTTTGATTGATTCATGAATTAACATTTTTTTTATTTAAATGTTTACTTTTAAAGAAATCTGACAATAGAACACAATTTTTCATTATAGTATTTTATTCTAATACATTGAGTGTATTCTTAAAAACTTCTACATCTTTAGTTCAGTGAGAAAATAAAAAGTGTGTGTGTGTGTGTGTATATATATATATATATATATATATATATTATAAATTAATTGATTTAAAATATGGTTATTTTCGCTATATATATATATATATAATGTCATTGTTTTGTAGACTTGTATTCTGAATTCTGTTTTAGTACAATTTTTATCCTTACAAAGTAGTACCGTTAATTTTTGTGCTGTAATTTAAAACTTAAAATTCCCTTTACCACAATTGTCTTCAAAAGAAATGTAACCCACTCAAGTTTTTTTTTTTTTTCTGTATTTGCATAAATCAATTCATTATCTCTAAGAAATGAAATAATGTTTCTTTGTCACAGCTTGACTGTTCAACAAATTGATTGTTTACTTGGCTGAAGAAATGCCGCCAGCCAAAACAAGGGGAGACTATTCAGTCAGGATTGCTTTTTAACACACACGCAGCACAACCGCCATTTTATTATTGTGGTAAACTGGAATATTTTAGTAGTTCTAAAAGCTTTCATTATTGTATCAGCCAAAATTCTTTAAGATCTGTTCAGAAATAAGATTCCTAATTTATCGAGGACATTAAATTTTAGTTTAAGACAATTTTTTTTTTTTTCAATTTGGCTTTATAGTAAATTTCAGAGTTGGAGTTTTGACTCTGCTTATAAGTTTGTATAAAATATTTTTTGTTGTATCGTACACAACTTAAATCGTTTTAGGCATATAATTCGTGTAAATATCTGAAACTAAAAACATTTGCCAAGATGGCCTGACAATTCTTTTTTCTTAATAAATGTTAATTTACAAGTGTTTAATCATATTGTGTTAAAAAACATGGAAATAACTTTTATAGTCAATGGACACACACACACAGTGATTTACAAGATAAATCAATTTAGAGCTGCAGGTTCACTGTTTCTATTCAAGTTACATCAGTAATATTTTGGCTAGTCACATGTGTACAAGTAAATCTACATATCTTACAAAGCTGAGGCAAGTGTTAAAACTGCAAATGTCATTATTAGTCAGAGCTAAATAGAACTGTATGCTTTACTTAGCATAATAGGACACGTTTTTGCTGCATTTTATTTTTTTTTCTATTTCTATACTTAATATATGTATATGGCTGCATATTTGAAGAGCTTCAGTAATTTGAAACTCATATTTTGTCAAGAAGTGACTAAATATAAATAACTGACTGCAATATAGTAAAACATAAATTTCACTTAGAAATTTTCATGTAGACATAATTTATGTGCTGATGCTTTGAAAGAGCCAATAATTATTTATACAATTTGTACACATTTTTCAACTAGTGGAAGTATGCACTCCATCAACTTAAGTATTGGGAAAGATCTCAAAGAATGTTCTTGCTTCATGAGGTAATGAATGAATGAATGAACTTATTGATTCGTGATCCAAGGTAGTTCAATTTTATTTGGATTTTTTTTTTTAATTGTGTTATGTACCTCCTGGTTGAAAACTGTTTACTTTGTATTTATATGAAAATTGTTTAAAGTATTTTTGGTAGACTTTAAATTAATATTTGACATCACATTTATTGCTATCTCTGTTATATAATTTTTTTTTTTTTCTTCAATCTTTTGTTTATTAAAGTTTAGATAATTATTTCCTTATCTTGTTTTCAAAGCATCATTTTCCTCCAAGACCTTTGATTATATATAAAAGATAAATGCATTAATGAATTTAAAATAATTTTAATGTCATTGTAATGGAATAACAACAATTCAGTTTACCTGAGTAATGTCTATTTTCATGTAAAAGATTTATTATAAGAAAATTAATATTTATACACTAATTAGATTTGTCTGTTCTCATACTGCAGTGAATTGTAAAGCATATAATGGTCAAAACATCTGAAAAGTTTTAATTCAAAATCAAATTTATCAATGTTTTGTCATACAAAATCTGTCAATTGCGTCATTCAAAATTTAATGATAAAAACTTGATTCTCCAATACGGCAATGGTCATTTTTCTTTATTGGTTTTTAATAAAAACATTTTGTACTCATTTCCAAAAGCTTAGATGTTATTTGTTAGATCAGATTTTAGCCCACTTAGTGAAAACGTTTTTTCTTTTGCTTTCTTAAGGTCTTTTTGTTCTGTTCATTTCTGTAATTCATTATCTGTACTACAACTGCAAAAAAATTAGAATCAAACTTACAATATAAATATACATAATGATTAAGCATTGGTAAAAAGAAAATTAATATAAACATTTAATTTCTTTTTGTTTGATACATTCCCCTTTGATTTATCTGATAATTTAAGAAATAAAAATTTGATTTTTGACAATTGTGATTTTTGTACTAACTCAAACCAGACTGATTAAAATTAAAATGACCTAATAGTTTATTTCATAACACCTTGGTTTTTATTTTTATAACTTGGTATATTAAGAAATTGTTAAAGTGCAAAATTTGCAGGGCTCTGTTCAAATCAGTATGTCCTCATTAGCTTATCATTTACATTTTACAAGTATTGAAACAGCAAATCTCAAATGACATGCATTTCTGGCACCAATAACAAAGTATTTTTTTCTCAAATTAATGATAACTTATTAAATTATGAAACTTTTTCATTCTCTAATTTGTTAAAATAAGTTTCTGTATGTTTGTTTTCCTGTTATGAACTTTTATCAAGTGAAATGCATTTAAAAATTAAAATGACTCATTTTAAATTGTCGTTTTTGTTTTTTTTGGGGGTTTTTTTTGTTTTGTTTTTTTAAAGATTATTTATTCAATTTTCCTAATGATCATATGAATTTGGGGAAACAAAGGAATTATATAATGTTATGCAAGAAGAATGATTTTTTTTTTTCTGTATCTTCTTGCTCAGATGTGATATGTACTATGCATTCACTTCATTTTTTTTTTTTTTTTTTACTATTATAAATAAATCATGAAAGATATGCCAATAAAAAAAAGAAATTAACTACCTGAATCAACTGATTAGCCCAGGTAAATAAAATAAAAAAAAAAAAAAAAAAAATATTTATCATGTTTTACAAAGTAGATTGCTACTTCATTTTTTCTTTATGGAAAGAATTATAATTGTGTCAATCCAATTGAATTTAAACTGTCATTCTGTTCATTTGTCAGGGTTTATTATTGTTTGTGTGTTGTTTTTTGGGTTTTTTTTTTTTTTTTTTTTTTTTTTTTTTTTTATCATGTAGACTAAATTTTTAAGTGTTGTCACTATATATAATATTGTTTGTTAGCTTCTAATCTTGTGCTGCAATTAGAATTGGTGTCACCTGACCCTTTCAAAATTATGGCAAAATTTGCAGATTTCACTCACATTCCCTTTATCCCAGATGTAGCTAACAAGACTAGAATCAGTTTAAAAAAAAAAAAATACGTAAGTTTTAAACTACTTGAAAAAGAATGGAATGTGACATGATAGCAGGGAAAATTAATCTTCTAAAATGCACATATTGAATGCAGCTTAGATGTATTTTCTTATAATGGAACAAGGCAAAAATACAATCCTACACTTTGAAGTATAGTGTTACAATAATTAATTTAAAAAAAAAGGGGGGGGGTTATGCTAAAAAAAAAAAATTTCCAACTAGCATACTGCATAGATGCTTCCATATAGGCTTTGTTTTGATAAAATTTAATTAACTTTATAATCCAAAAAGTGCATGAAACTTAGTACTGAGCAATATACCGAGTATTCATGTCTAGTTACCTTATTTGTGACCCAAATTTATACTTGAAGAATTAATATTTGCATTTTATTTTTAACTTCTAAGGGGAGGGGGATTACAACTTATTTTTTGATAAAGTTGACATCTAATTTTAGCTTTTTGTTGTTGTTGTTGTGTTTTTTTTTGTTTTTTTCTATCCCAAAGCATTAATATCTTGATTGTGGATATATAATTATGAAAACTTTATAAAACTATTTTATCATTATATTTTTAAAAAGTATTTAATCATTATATACTAAACTATACTGCAAACATTATATACGGAATGATTCCTGCCTTGAAGCAATACTTACTTATTTTAATAGGTGCACAAATAATTTTTATTTTACTTAAGTTAAAATGTTTCCAAATGGATTTGTCAATAACTTTAAAGTTTGAAATCTGATGATTCCATGATTTTAAATTTGCTTTTGATCAGAATGAATTTAACAAATGCTAACAAGCATGCATATGGTGTATTTTATATGCAGTCTGTTTGCACTCACTTGAGTATTTTCAAAGCATATTTTAAACTAGGAAACAAATGAGAACTGTTAAAATAGTTGTAGATTCACTGATGCTTGCATTTTTTTTTTTAATCTATGCTCCTACTGATATGACCATGTCCATAACTAAAAATGGTAACTGTGGGTGACTTATTGCAAGAAAACTATTTTGTGCATGCTTATCACCTGTTGAATGCACTTTTATTAAACAAAATAGATGTAAATACACTTTTAGGATGTAACCTTCATTGCATATGTAGCTTGTGAAAAGAGATCACATTATGACCAACTGAAGTAAATATTTTGACTTTAGATGTTTTTCAAAACTTCTAGAATATTCAACAAAATTTGAAACGAGTTTTTCAGTTTAGCATTCACATCCTTATCTGAAAAAAAAATGATATTGATTCCTATCACAATTTCAAACAACTATATCATTATTTTAAAAGTTCTGATTGCTATTATATGAAGAGAAATGTTACTTAGTGTTTTTTTTTTTTTTTTTTTCCATGCTAAATTTATTGAAAATTATCAATTATTTATAAACTATGCACAATGTATTCAAATATTTTTATCTAAAAAAAGAAAACTCTCCTACATAATTGCATTTTGTTTCCTACTGTATGCATATATTAATAGCTTATTTCTCATAGCATTTTATTGCAAAAATTATCTCCCTTTATTAATATTTTTACATTTGTTTGGCAGTTGTTGAACAGTCACGGCAAAACCTTCATTTGAATTAACAAACTTGACATTGTTTCTAATACTTCCGTGTGTGTGTGTGTGTTATATATATATATATATATATATATAAATAAAATGTCCTGAGTTGGTATGTTTTATTTTTCAAAGAATAAAAAGGAAATATTTGTTGTGTGGTCTCTTATGTCACATTTTCTTTCTGCTTTCATAAGACTATATAATTTTAAATTAAGCTTCTGCTAATTTAAAACAAAATGTTTGTATTTATTAGGTTGCTGAACATGAAATTGCTGGCTATATTTAAGCTTGTGATAGCATTTAAAATTGATTCAATTGAATAAAAAAAAAAAGCAGGGATAGATTTTACACATGCCCAAAAATATGATATTGGCATTTATATAAATTATAATAACTTTTAAATCATGATTAGTCTTGTATACTTGATCGTAAGATTTTGAAGATAGTAGATTTCACTTTTTGATTCAATGCTATTACTTTATAGAGTTACTTTGATTTTAAATGTTTGCAAATAAAAACTTTAGTTTATAAAACCACCACTTACTGAGAAATGATTAAGAGGCAACATAGAATTTAAAAAAAAAAAAAAATGCCATAAAGACTGTTAGCTTCCTGCTAATATCAATGTATCGGTTGGCGACAAGTAAAATATGCTCACTTAAATAAGTTCCATTTGAATGCAGTTGCCTTTACAGCTAAGCACCTGGTTTTGTTTTTAATTTTGCTGGGTGGGGTCTAGCCACCTTTCTCACCAGGAAAACATGGTGGTGGCTGATTATCTGACCATACAACTGGTGATCCTGGGTTACATGGTACTGGTAATATTTGTAGCAGGACATGACATCCTATTATCACTTATGGTAAAAGTGAGTTCTGTGCGGGTATAAAAATTTAGATATAAATAAAATGTATCTGTAAAGAGAAAGATGATATAAAGACAGAAGGAAGTTGTACACAAATAATTTCAAGAAATTCAGTATCAAGAATGCAACACTTAGACAAAAAGTTCTTCTGCAATTATCAATTTTTTTGAAAAATGCTAATACTCCTTTCTCAATTTTTAAAATTTAAAATAAATACATAAAATACATTAGAATAAATAATAAATACATTAAAAAAAAAAATAAGAATTCAATAAGATTTATAGCCTATTGTTTATTAGGTAATAAATTACATCACTTAACATCCTTTATAGTTTACCTTTCCTTACATCAAAAGTATTTTAGGTTTTAAATTTAAAATTTGAAAACACTTTTTTCCTCTAATTCTGCTTACAATTGCTAGTTGCAAAATAAAACTTCTACATTTACCTTAATAAAAAGTCCCTCTTTGGATGAAATGCATTGGTAAAGAAAAGGTTTTCTTTTTGTCTTGTCTATAACTGAAGTACCTCTTTACAATGGGTAAAAGATGAAGCTGGTTATTATGAGAATAAAATTGTTCCTTTGTCCAGAAAAGTGATCCCACATTTTTTTGCTTTTTTCTTTATACCAAGGTGAAATCTGAAATGTATAACCAAGAAATATCTATTTTACAATTTTATAATAAAAAAAAAAATTTTGTCATTAATGTTTATCAGGGTTGTTGTTTGTTTGTTGGTTTTTTTTTGTTTTTTTGAGATAGAGAAGCCATTAGAATGGCTGGTGTTTTGGTTTTATGGTAACTTCATAAAGATGTATATGGCAACAATTTTTGTGCTGCGTCCCTTCAGGGTAATTCCAGATTTTTCTTGATCTGTGAATTGCCATGAAATCTTGGAAAAGATAGTGGCGTGGTTTCCCATTGCTTCCTCTATGGTATGAATTCAGTTTTCCTTCTTGTAAATTGGTTGCCATCAGATGCTCTCTCTCTCTCTCTCTCCGGCTATCTTACTCTACAGTTGCAGAAATAAGAGATCAGTTCATGCCTTTCCCAAGGGCATTAGTGTAAAAGTGAAGAACTTAAATATTGTGTGGAAATATATTTTGAAAGCCCCCCCCCCAAAAAAAAAACACACACAAGTCCCTAAATATGTTAAACAACCCAATAAGACATTTAGTTGCTTTGAAGAACTATCTTTTAATACTTGTCTATATTTCTGAGATAAGGTATTATGTATCGAATTTACATTATTTGGACTATTGTCCTCATCTTTGTTGCCATGTTTATCACAATGTTTTGGCTGTTGTACTGTGACACATGGCACAGTGGATAAAGGTGTTAGATCCAGTGACAGAACCAAAAGATTGTGAGTTCAATACCCGGTTAAGGCGGTGGAGAACTTTGAGAGGGGAATTAACAGGAGATAACTGACATCTATTAGACATGGCACATGGAACTAGAATAGTCTACCCCAGTGAGTGAAATAAAGGGTTCAGTTCAACATTCCAACCACCTGTACAACGGCTGAAATGTTGTGATAAACATGGCAACAAAGATGAGGACTATAGTTCGAATAATGTAAATAGTGTATCTTTTAATACATGTTTACATTTAGACACTTGGTTTTTATTTCTTACAATTAGACTGTGCAACAAAATGTCAGATTTTGATGGAAAGGTACAAGAAAATTTCTCGGCTAAACTTTTCATTTTATCAAAGTAACAGTGTGGGTGAGCAGCTTAAAGTAAAATTGATTTTTTTTTTTTTTTTTTTTTTTCGTGTGTGTGGAGTCAATTTGTCCTTTTTGTTTTTATTTTTCTCATCACACCTGATAAAAACAATCATAGCAGAAAGTGTGAGGTTTACTGAAAAAGATTAGATTGTTCTCTGGCTGTTTCACAATTTTCCTCAACCAGTTGTCAGTCTTCCTTCACTCTCATTTTATCTTCAGAAAATACCCAAAATCATCATTGTATTTTCACATGAGCATGTCCTTTTCCAAAATCCAAATCAGTGTTTTTTCCCTGCTTCTGTTGCACTGTAAGCCAATTTGAATTCATACACAAGCCTAGTCCCACTAGTTTTATAGATAGTTGAGGGGGGAAAAACAAGGTTGACAAACAGGCAGATATTCAGATTTACAATAGCAATTAATACATTAAAGTGTACACCTATTTAGACCATCTTTATAGCGCCAATCTGACATTATGCGTGATGCAATTTTGCAATGTCGGTCATTATTTTGATTAGTATTTACTTTAACCTTAATTTTGTTTCATTTTTATCCAAACTCGCAGACTGATTCTACATGCATTAGTGAATGACAGGGATTGGAATTAAAGAATAATCTTCCATTGAGACATTGCTTTCTAACTGTTCTCAAATGAGTCTGTGAGTTGTGATAAAAACAAATTAAGATGGAAAACTACTTGAAAAATTGAATAATTGACAATACTTTATTGAAAAAAGAATTTCAGTTTAGTCTACACTATTCTTAAACAGTTTTTAATTACCTATTCAAAAGAATTACTTTTTGAGATATATATATATATATATGTAAATCTCTCTCACATACAGTTTTTTTTTTGTTTTTTTAATAGTTAAAATTTTCTGAATTTCTCTGAGCAGATGCTCTTTATTTTTTGAATCCAAACTTTAAACTTTCCATGATGTTTCTTTACAGAAACGAGCCCAACCTATTCCACTTTGTAGCTTTTGTTTAGGAACTGTCGATCAAAATCGGAATAGTGTACCTGAGGAATTGATCTCATGTGCTGATTGTGGAAATAGTGGTAAGTAAAACATTTTGTTACAATTCTATTTAAAGGATTATATGATTAATGTGCTCTTAAAATGTGAAACTAAATCAAATGGCAAAAGTAATTTTGTATGTATTGTGCATTCTAAATTGATTTCATCTATTCACTTTAAAATATTTAATCACTTCTTTACACACCAACCCAACTTTTACAAATACATTTAAGTGGTTACAGTCTAACTTTTGTTAGACTTTGATCTTTTATAGTTATTAAAACTTTGGGTGAGCTGTGGAAAGTGTATTTTATGTTAGAAAGTACAGTAACTCTTATTGAGTTATTATTCAATACCATTCTGAGCTTTGCCAACAAATATTCCCCAGCAGTTGTTTGCTAATGTGCAATTTTAACACTTTCTCCAATTTGTTTCCCTTCCTAATCCATTTCACTGTTACATGGTCTGTCAGCTATCCGAAATTGCAACATTTTGTCTTATTACAGTTAAAAAAAAGTTTTCATGATCTTTTTATGTTAATACTTTATAGACTGACAATTTTTTGTCATTTTCTACAGTAAAATTGATTGCCCAAAATACTGTACAAGTTATAAAACTATAATTTAATAAAGAATATATCTTTATTAAATTATAGTTTTATAACTTAGTTGAAACAGTTTAAAACTAATCAGAATTAAACTGATTACATTTTAAAACATTTTTTTTTTTTTTGAATAACTACTATTGAAAATTGCTCAGTCTTGAAAAAAAAAAGATTTTAGGTATTTTACGCTAAGTGTTAATCTATATATTTCTTAATGGACAGAAAATATTAAATATTTTTCAGTTTCTTTTTTCAGAATATTTCATTATTTAAATTTAAGAAAAAAATAGCCTGACCAATTTTGATACTTAGAAAAAGTTTCTTTGAGGACATGATTTTAGGTTTTTTGTGTGTGGATGATGAAAAAATAACTTAAGATTTATTGTTAACAGAAAATGTTAGGAACTGTAATACTAAATTACTATGAAGTCTAATTGTAACTTGGAAGTTTCTCTAAAATATTAATATTTTAATTAATCAAAGGATAAAAGTTGTATTTGATTAGTAAGTGCTGATTGATGGGGGACTCTGCAGGTTACTTTTTATCATAATTTATGTATCTGTATTATAAGTTTTATAATAATTGCTGAACACCTGTTCATCAAAAATATTTTTAACATTTGCTTCTTTAAAAAAGATGATGCACTTATAAGCCAGAATGGAGAATTCTTTCTAAAAGAATAAGTAAATTCTAGTTCCTATGCAAAATTGCTTTTTTAAATGCATTCAGTTACTATTAATGTTTTTTTTGTTTTTCTTCTGACTAATATATATAATCTCTTTATCACTCACCTGTGATAAACAACAGTTAACCTGTTAGTGTTTCAAGCTTGATAAGAGTTCATTCTTTAATGAACTGTGAATCAGGTTTGCCCTACTCCAAATATTTTATGGTTCAGCTTTGAATAATTTTATTCTGATACATTATGACTTGAAAATCTTGATGTTACTATAATTAGGAAGGGTAATGTTATCATTTATTAAATTTTGTATAACTTGTCCAATGATTCAACTTTGTACTAATATGCTTTTCCATGAATTCTAATTTTTGCTTGTTTCTATAACAACTGACTAAAAGTTAGTAAACAGTACTTTTGCTAACAAATGATTCTTGGCTTGTAATTTTAAATTTGATTTTTAAATTATTTAATGTGTGTAAGGAAATTGTAGGTTCTGAAATAAACTTGTTACAGAAAACACCATTGAAATAGCTTTATAAAAATGCTTTTCTCTTTTATTTAATCACTGACTTCTAACCTCATTGAGCTGGCCAATCTTAATTTCTCTTAAGTTGCTTAAGGAACAAATCTATATGATAAAGTAATTTTGCAGGTTTACTATTAAAAACAACATCTATATTATCAATGTTTAGTAGCTCTGTAATTTCAGTGACTTCAAATTTTAATATCAAAAGGAATGTTTCCTTTTTTTGTTAAAATTAGAAATGAATAAAGTTAACTATCCTGTAACCATATCTTTAACATGTTTAAACTGTGTGCACAATAGTGGGTGATTGGAAACTGGTTCTGATTATTGTCTTTATAAATGTCATAAACTTATTAGTTATGTACAAGAGACATTTTGTCACAAACTATATTTTATACTTTGTGTTAAGACTTGGTGTGAAATGCAAAAGAAATAAGAGTAGGTAAACAACAAGTTTGATATTTTCTGCATTTGTTTCCACTTGGACATGACATTAGATAAGGATATAAATTACAAATGAAAAATAACCTTGTGCCATTTGTGTGCTTATGAATATTGACAGTTTATAAAGCAGTCCTGTAAAATACCTTTCCATGTTAAACTCAGTTTAACACCTCTCTCTCTCTCTGATAAATAACAATTGTAAAGATATATAAACTGTAAAAAAATTTTTTTTTTTTTTTTTTTTTTTTGCGCAAAATTGAATAAAAATTAGCCAACATACTGTTTTAGCTTAATTGCACGAGTGTTTTCTATGCATTCTGTCAACTGTGAGATCCAAAAACATTGCTACATTTCATGATCTCTTTAATTATCCAATTTAAATATCAGTATTAAAGTTTGTTTTTTTTTTTTGTATATCGTGTATTAAGTGATATTTTAATTTAAGCTAATCTAAAAATGAGAAACAGACAAGAAATCACGGTTCATCTTTTTTTAAAAAGCATTATGTTCATTTATACTTTGAAATTAGTAAGTGAAAGATTCTCAACCTATATTACAGGAAGAACTGATTTATTTTTTGTAGTTATGTAATGAGGAATCAGAGCTGAGTCCAAATTCCAGTCGGGTTCTGTACCTTGGGAAAGGTATGAATCCATCTCTTCTCCCCCAGCTATGGGTTGAATAGCAGAACAGACTGGATCCTATAACCTTAGCTGGCAGCCAGTCTACTGCAGAAAGAAATGGCAACCTACTGTGGGAAAATTTTCTGCCTAGTCAGCCATGAATTAAAAGAAACGTGATCGCCCAAGTGTGTATCACATATGACACTTAACTAACCGATACATATATACACTTGCTATTTTTTTTATTTTCTGGTAATAGTACTAGTATTTTGACAATAATTGTGTTTTCAGCTCAAGTTAGATTTATAATAAATTGATTCAAGAATTTCCAGCACATATACCTTTTTAATCATAATAATGACTCTATTTTTAAAATAGAATCCTAACAACTCATAACCTAACTATGAGGCTAATTATACATATTAAAGCTTAAAGCAATTTCTCGATGACTGACATAACTCATGTAAACAATATCTTTTGATGGTGTAAGTATTCAGATAACTCTTAGTTTTTATTAGGTAATTTGGAGAACATTTTTCTGATAGCAAAAGGAAGTGATGTTATAGCCATTTTCATTGTGGTGTAAAATTTACCTTATGATTATACTTCTATTCATTCCATAATACTGTATCTAAAAGTTTACTATTAGAAATAAAATAGTTTTTATTCAAGAATTGTTGTACTCTACTGAAACCACCAATATACACATTTTGGGAAAGTTTGCTAAGTTTTTGCTATTTAATTTTCTGAACATTTTGTCAACCTTGAATTATATAAAATACAAAAACTAGTTTTGTAAATGCTTTCAATAATTTTGCAATGCATAGGTGATCATTGTTGCTCTGTGTTCCTTTCATAATACTTGAATATTATTGTTTCTTATTGTGCTATTTAAGCTGTATAACCCAATTAGTAGAAAAGATATTTTCTTCTGCATAGCAGTGCATAACTGAATTTTTGTTTTTCCTCTGTTTACAAGTGAATTTCTGCAAGGTGGGTTTGCGATCTTCAGGCCCAACCAGTTCGGAGTTGTTGTCTTTCTAGACTGGTTGCTAATAACAAGAGATCCCATTCTGCCCTGCTATTTAACCCATAGCTCAGTGGGAAGTTCGTACCTTTTCCAAGGGTATTTCTTTGAAAGTAAGCACAAAAGAATCAGCTAGAATTTGAACTCCTCATGCTAGTTTCACTTTCTGATTTTTGATCTGTGTGCAAAAAAAAAACAAAAAACAAAACAGGACTTCTGTTGTATATTGATAGATTGTATAGCAGAAAGCACTGTTATGGTAGGCAAATGCAAGAAATGCCATCTGGCTTACTTTATTTCTATTTTCTGTATATCCTTTCTGTACTGCACTTACCATCAAAAATGGCTTTGGTTACTCTAAAATACCTTTACATTAAATGAAACAATTGTCTTATTTAATCTTTTTTAATAAAATGCTTTGTAGTTGTTAATATTTTCTGCTTTTTGTTTATTTATATTTTTTTTTCTTTTTCTTTTTACAGGTCACCCCTCTTGCTTAAAATTCTCCAGTGATCTTACATCGAAAGTAAAAACATTGCGGTGGCAATGTATAGAATGTAAAATGTGTTCTTTTTGTGGAAAGTCAGGAAAAGAGGTTTGTTTTTTATTCATTTTGTATTATTTAACTATAACCAGAACACTTATGTTTTTTTTTTTTCTCTCACACTCTCTTTATAATCATATTCAAAAGGTAACACTTAAGTGAACATTTTAATTTATAAACTTTGCACTCTATTTTCAGGATATGTTGTTCTGTGATTCTTGTGACAGAGGCTTTCATATGGAATGCTGTGATCCACCTCTGTCCAGAGCCCCAAAAGGTAGGGTTTTGATTTGTGTTAGGTGATTTGAAAAAATTCTTTCAAGCTTTCACTTCTGATGCACTACTTAAACATTTTTATTTATTAGGGTGAAATTAAATTTGTTCCTATTGCTATTACTTGTACATTGTAACTATTGACTGTTTCTTTTTAAGGAAAAAATTCTTTATTTTTTACATTTTTACTATAGCTGAGTATAATTTCACTGAATTTTATTTTTTCAGGTTCTTGGATTTGCAAAATATGTGATCCAAGAAGTAGCAAACGGGGCAGAAAATGTAATGATATGGCAGCTAAATTACCCAGGAACAACCCCAAATCTATGAGAAATGGGACAGATAGAGTATCATTGAGAACAAGTACTAAAAATGGCTCAATCAAGTAAGTAAACCCTGGGGATATCTTAGAAATTCTCTCTTTATCAATTGAAATTATTTCTATTTTTTATTTTTATCCTTCTGTCTTTTCTATATAAAAATCAGAAAAAAAGAAAATGTACATATGTATATTTTTAAATATGTTAAATGATTTTGTTGGGATTTTTAACAAAATGACAGTTTTTAATTTTTGCTAATTAGCAGCAATTTATGAACATGCTAAAAGGCTGATTTGTGATATCCCAAAGCTGTAAGTGCATAACTGGAAAAATTTTAAATATACACTAGCCTCTGCTGACTGTCTTTATCTATAAAACAGTCTTTGTTACAAAGAATAATACTCGTAATGTTAACTAAAAAAAGTCTTCAATTTTTGCCTATTGTAGATATTTTATAAGTTAAACATAGAAAAGCTCTGGAATATGTGTTGGTTTGCATCCCCCCCTTTTCCTATTTGTATGCTCTTATTGCACCAATTTATATACAGGGTGTGGCAGAAATACCTCCCACATAATGGTAAGACATTAGTGAAAATGGTATCTTCATCTAGCTAATGTTTTACCAATATGTGGGAGGTATTTCACTTGCACCCTGTATGTTAAATCACTTTTGTTTATAAGGCACTCATTGAAGATTTTTTTTATTTTATACTAACTCATTTATATAACTCAAAATGTCAATTTCTTTCAGCAGCAGGTCTTTTTTGGCCAAATGCAAGCATTTGTATTGCAACTTTCATGATATACACACCAACTATTTATTACTGAGATAATTTTTGGCTATAATTTGAGATCATGTTATTTTAAAATTTAATTCCATACGTGTCTATGACTCAATTTGGTAAGTGTGGAAAGACATATTTAGAGACTTCTGTTGGTGATTTCTTGTGTTTTTCTGAAGATTAGGATGTATTTAATGCTGTTTTATTTTCTCAGGCAGTATGCTTGCCAAAGATTACCTACACAGCAGCAGCCACCATCTAGGGGGACTACTGGTACTGGTAGCAGCCAGTCACGACATAAGGGACAGCGCAACAAAAGCACTTCTTCAACGTCTCCTCCTCCTCCTCCTCCACCCAGTAGTTGCAGTGCGGGTCCATGCCAAAGGGGCCAACTTCCTAATCAACATCTTCAACACCACCAAAATCATCCTGGTAAAGTACCACCTATTGAACAAAATGGCGAACAGTGTTCATCGTCTGAGAGCGAGCCAGAAACTGATCAAGGGGAGCTCCTGGGCCAAGCTGTTTTGCCATTCGAGAACAAGCTCAACAAACCCAAAGGCCTTATTGATGGCTTATCTCGTTTCTTCACTCCCTCAAATAAGCGTAAATCACGGGTATCTTTGAACACCTGTAACACAAACTCCTCCTCTTCTTCTTCATTGTCCTCCTCTTCCTCTTCCTCCTCTTCCTCATGTGTAAAATTACAGAACAAGTCTAAATTGTCATCCCAGTCCCAGAGTAACTCTCAGCAGGCGGCTAGTAAATTGTTAAAAAAGTCCAAACTCTTACAAGCCAACAAAGGCCGCAAGAAAGTGGATGGACCACCTGGTAGTGGACAACTGAAAGGGCTGTTTGATGGTTTGTCTCACCTCTTTACTGCACAGGGAGAATCCAGGAAACGTAATATACCTGTGTACACTCCCCCTCGAAGAATACGTAGAATAAGACATGTGGAGGAACTGCCTACAACCACTACAGATGAATCAACAAACACCGGTCACTTACCATCTAGTACTGTAGTTACCTCCCCTGCACTTGTGGGGGGTCGGGGCACTATTATTGTGGGACACACTGCCACTCAAGATAGTCCAGTATCAACACCGACACCGTCCAGGAGGGGTCGGGGTAGAGGGAGGGGTCGTAATTACTCAAAACCTGATCTTGCAGCACCTGGAGGTCTTGTTGCCACCGCTACTACTACTGCCACCACCACCACTACAACCACTACTACTACCACCACCACCACCACCACCACTACTACCAACACTACTCCCTCAGCCGACAAGCGACAACGCCAAGTCAGAGACATACCCACCTCAACTGACACACCAGCAACAGGGAGAGTGCGAGGGCGAGGACGGCCCCGGCCCTCCGGTAAGAGACTGAAGATAATAAGCGTCTTAATTAATTACATACTTACTGAATTCTTTTGCAAGCTACTAGTAGTATTTTTATTTATTTATATTTTTTTCCCATCCACACCCTATTTAGTCATCCCTTTCCTCTTCTTCCTCTTTCTCCTCTTCACCATATCATCACATTGTTCAGACCTTACTAGTAGACTTTTATCCCTTCCTGGCACATTGACAGGCATGCTTCTTGCCGCATGAGTTGCCATTCACTGTGCTTTGGTTTCTTCCATCATGTTCTATTTTGCATGCTCTCTGTTGTTGTCAGTCCATGATTACACCACAATATCATCATTACCATCCATTTGTTCTGGCCTACACGAGTGCATGTTGTTGGGTTGTTGGCACTTAATGCAATGCTTGCTTCTTTTTTTTTTCTCTATACTTCTCACTACCATCACTCTTAGCGTTGCTGCTGCTATCACACATGGCTCAAATACTTAAAACATTTATCTATTTTCTTACATCTATAGCCAAAGGTTTTTCTCCCCTACCCATATACAAAAATAAGCTTTTAAAGCTTTATTTGATACTATTAATGATTTTAACAATTTTAATGAATTCTCATATTGCAGACTTTTCCACTTTTTATTGAAGAAAATTAAACAAATACAAAATATGTTTGATATGCAAAAACACTGCAAATACTCGTTTTACTCATTTGAAATTACGAATGTTTTGTCTTCAATAACAGAATAGGTGGTTCAGAATCATTCAGTATAATTTTTTTTTTTTTAACATGGAAGTTTAATTTTTCAAGTTTTATAGCTTGTGTGAAATACATGTTTTACACTAGTAAAGAGTATTTTTATTTCAGTATTTCCTTTTGCTAAGGTCCAACATTTTGACATTGATGTGTTATTTCATTAGTTTCTAAATATAATTCAATTCTTCCTTTTTCCCAACCACCCTCTATGGCCAGTTGTGACCCAGTATATGATTTTCTAATAATGGTTAAGATTTTATTTTGAGTAATGTGCATGTCTGAACCTTTTTTGAAGTGAATTTAATTTTTTAAATGTTTTTGTTGCTGTTATACAAAGTTGTCTTGAAAGTGATTACAATCCTGAATTTAATATTAGTTATTGGGGGGCTCTTCTTTTTTTTTTTTTTTTTTTTTTTTTATAGTATAATGAAAATATTGTTTTGTACTAGAAAATTTGGTTTTAAACATTTATGTGGGATTTTTAATCTTTTTTCATTCAAACCATGATTTGAACATTTACAGTAGGTTTATTTTTGTTTCTCTTACTAATTCTATTTTACTTATTTCCCCACATTACTTTCAAAATGTCAATAGTAAAAATATCTGCATCTTATTTTGTGAATTTTCTTTTAGATTAATTTTCTCGATTAAAATTGTGACAATGGGATTTTTTCTCTTTTTAAATATTTTGACTCCCAAAACAATTATTGTTCTTGTATAAAGAAAAAACTTATTTGTTCTGTTCCAATAGTCGTTAACCCTATCAGCTTTCATAATTATAGATAAATTATGTTTATTTTTATAAAGATTGAAAACTCTAAAAACAAATACACTTGGATTTAATCAAAACTTACTTAACACACTTCTGTAAGTAGTTTTATTAATACTTGTGCTTGACGCCTAAGCTGCTTACTGCATCTGGTATTCCTAAATGGTCACCCATTTAAGTATTGACTTTGTTCAAAACTGCTTAGTTTTGGTGCTTTAATTATTATTTGACTGCAATTTATCCTTACAACATGGTGAATGAACTTGACAGTTATCCCATACATTATAATATTCAGAGGATAATGCAAAAAAAAGCCATCCCAAAACTATCCATACCTCTTGTTTGTTAATCTATTCCAGTTACCCCCATCTTTTATCCTTGAAGTTGTTTTATAAAAATATTTCTTTCTGTATTTGAGAATGTTTAGACTAAGTGTTGACAACATCTTTAAGTAGAATTCTTCATCTAAAAAGTTTAACATTTACCCTCAAAGGTATTTTTATTAGTTTCATAATTCATAAGTTGTTTGGATTTTCCTTGTTTTTGTTTTGTTGTATTTTTATTTTTCTTCTCTTTTTTTATTTTTCTTCTCTTTTTTTTATTTTTTAAACCTGTTATCCATTTTTCTGTGTGTTTGGTTTGCTGTGTTTACTTTCTCCCACTAAAACATAAACTCTTATGAGATAAGATCTAAGATACTAGATAATTGGCAGTTTGTAATGTTTTTTTTTTTTTTTTTTGCAAAGCTGTTGTTGATTGTTTTAGGAAAGGGGCATATTTAATCAGTTTTTTTTTTTTTTAAACTAAGCCTGTTTGAGATTTTGACTTAAATTTGTTCTCTGATGAAACTGATGCCATTTTGTTTGATATTGAATGCAGTCTTCTGACTTGGTTTCTATAAGTTGGCTCTTGTTCTATTTTCTCAGATATTTTTATAAAATTTAACAGTGATTTCCTGGGTTAATAAAATGGCTAAAATTGATTAAATGATTTTTTTTTTTTTTTTTTTTTTTTTTTTTTTTTTTTTTAGAAATATTTTTATTTTTCTCTAAATATTGTTAGCTAAATTTCCAGCCCAGCTTTAAGGTATAGAGTTTTGCCTTAGTGTTCCTTGTTCAAGTATATTTTTTTCCTTTATTTTTGCAAGGGATGAGTCTGTTCCAGGTAAATAGTTGTTAAACTTCCTAATACTAATTTTCTAATGTTACATTTTGTTTCCAAGCTTTTTATTTTTTAAAATCTTGTAAATAATACAGTTTTATTTTTAAAATAAAGTAATATTGCATGTGTTAACTTTTCTCACTTAACTAAATTCTGACTAAATTTGTTTTTTGTTTGTTTTTGGGGTTTTTTGTTTTGTTTTTTGTTTTGTTGTTTTTGTTTTTTTTTTAATTTTCCTCTTTTTTATGTCTTCATTTGCTTCTTGCTCTTAAAATTTTCTCTTTTTGTCTTTATTTATATTCTAATTTTTTTTCTTTTTGGCATTTGCTGGCCATATTTTGCCTCTGTGTTGTGAGCTTATCTGTATATAGGTACCTTTTTATTTTATTTTTTTATTTTTATTTTTTATTTTTTTTTTAAACCAAGGGAAGAATCTAATTTCATTATGCAATTTGTTGGGCTCTGTTAATAAATGTTAAATAAGCTTTTCACGTGTTATTTATTTTTTAAATTATGATTTAGTAGTGTTTTTTTTTTTTTTCAAAAAAAATATTAGACCAATTTTATTTGGGATAATGTTAATTTTATATTAACTGTTGACATCAAATACAGTTCTTTTAATTTTTATGAATATCCTATATTTTCCACCATATCTTTTGGTTTTTTTTTTTTTTTTTTTTAAATATTCTTATTTGCTTCTAAATTTAAATCTCAAAATACTTTTTCAAAATTCAAATTAGTTATTGCTTTCAAATACTAAGTTAACAATAAAATGTGGCTATAAATGTGTTGTTTTTTTGTTTTTGTTTTTTTTTTTTTGGTTTTTTTTTTTCCACTCTAATCTGTTTTACTTTACTTTTTTTTTTTTTTTGTTTGTTTTTTTTGTTTTTTTTCTCTAAGGAAAAGATATGATTATTGTACCTTTCTATTTTACAAAAATTCAGCTTAGCCAATGTCCCAAACTTAGATTATGCAAATTTGTGGCCAGAAAAATTGTAAACTGTCTGACAAATCTTAAAAGGTCTAACATTCTTATTCATTATATTGTGCCCTGCTCCATAGTTTGACGTTTGTGGTGTCTCCAAAGCACTGAAGCACTTATGGTAGCAAACGAATAAACTTGCTACTTTTTTTTTTTTTATATATATATATATATATATATATAATCTTTTTTCTCTCTCTCTCTCTCTCTCTCTCTCTCTCTCTCTCTCTCTCACCCCCAGTGTGTATCGATGTTTTTGTCCCCTTCAACCCTCCCACTACTTGAACAAAAATATCTTTACTCTGGGCTGGACAAGCTTTTAATTGTCTTCTTGAATGTTTCAAGAATGCCACATATTGTTTGTCTATTTCCCTCTGCTCCAGGTTTATTAGCTGGTCAGGAACTAACCTAGTGTTTCTTTTTTTTTTTATTTTTTTTTTTTTTTTTTTTTTTCTTCTTTTTGTTCTTTTTTTTTTTTTTTTTTTTTTTTTTTTTTTTTTTTTTTAAATATATATATTACTGACCAATGAAACAATTGGTTAAACCCAGGCTCTGGCTGCTGCTCTTAGAGATGAACCCTGTTGCTAAAATTTGGTTTTGTTGTACCTTTTGTCTTGGGCCTTCTGTGCTGTTTTTGTTTTGTTTTTGTTTTTTTTTGTTTGTTTTTTTGTTTTTTTTTTTTTGTTTTATTTTTATTTTATTTTTTTTATTTTATTATGACTTATGAGTCACAGTGATTAATGCATCTGCTGTTCTTATAGTTTCAGTTGTCCCAGTCCGTCTTTTTACAGCCTCATTTCTGTTCCTCCTGTCCTTTCTATTATCTGGATATTCAACTTATACATTGTACTTTGTAATATCTATTACTGTGCCATCTGTAATAGTTTTTGTTGTGGACACTTGGTGGATTTCTGCCCTTTCAAAGTCACTTTCCAGTGCACCATTAATCTTCCTTAATTGAGAAAAATCCCTTAGTACATGTTTTCAAACTGGCATTTTTCTGTTAATTTATTTGTAAATATCTATTTAGTTGCAACTGTTGAATACTTTCTGAAGAGTTTGATTTTCATTAAGTCGTTTTGATTTTAAAGCTTTTTTGACAATAGATTATGCACAAACCCCAACATTTTAATTGTGATTAAATACAATTGAAAAGCTAGTCAATTTAGCATTTGATGTTTCGAGAGTATTTTGAATTTTAATTTAGTTTTCATAACAGTTGGATTATATATAAACTTTGTCTTTAATCCTCAAAATATCTTTTGCGGTACTTTTGAATTATAGGTATTTCAATTAGATTAGTTATCTTTGTCAAGTATCTATAACTTTAATTTTCTTAATATAAAGATTTATGTTTTGATTTAGATATTGATATTTAAGTTGAATCAAAATTTAAAAGTATTCAAAAATATTGAAAAAAAAAGAAATCGAACCATATTTTATATTAAAGATTCTTTACATGCTTGAAATGTTTAAATGTTATACCTTATTTTTTGTACTCTCCCAAAAATACATTTAAATAAATGCTGATTTTGCATGATTTCAATTTTAAGATTTTTAGTATTGTTTCTTGTGTAACATTTGTATTATTAAAAATGTCTTTTTTTGTAAATTTATACAGCCACCTTTAAAAACAAAACGATTTTTCTAAAGAAAAAAAATTATTTCTTTACTAAGAGCCCTTATCTAATAATTATATAAATTTCTATTATACTCTTAAATTAAAATTGTCTTTAATCATAATTGTATTTATTCCTCACAAATTGATTATGCAGATTTGTACATAATTTATTTTTATTTTATTATTTGTATAAATGATGATAGATAATTTGATCTTGCAATATATGATTTACATTTTAGTTAGATACTGCTTAGTCGTTTAAATTGACATTTTCTGTTAAATTTTAGTTTAGATTATTTTCTCAATTGAAATAAAGTAATTACAGAACTAAATTTTTATATTTCAGAAACATGCATAAATTTAGTTTTTCAGCTTTTTTTTTCCCACTTTATTACTGCATGTATCTTATATTTCAAATTTATATTACTTTGTGTTTGTTTTTTGTTTTTGTTTTTTTTTTTGTTTTTTCTAGCAAAAGGTTTTTCCTAACAAGTCCTTACTTTCTACTGTATTGGAAAAAATATACCCACTTGCTGCTTGCACTTTTCATGTCACCTTCCACTTTTTTTTCTTTTTTTTTTTTTTTTTCTTCTTCTTCTTCTTCTTCCTCATCCTCTGTTTTTCTGTCTCACCCAGCTGGGGAAAAAATCCATTGCATGTTACTCATCTCCTGTTTAAATATCAGTTTTTTGATTCTTCCTCGTTCCCATGCAATGGATTCTTCATTGTCACATATTCCCATATTATTTTTTCTTTTTAATGCTGCTACTGCTTAGCTGTTGCCTTTCATCTTAAATGTTTTCTCTTGACATTTCGATGAATTATTTGCTTAATATTCCAACCTATCGATTTTTTTTTTTTTTTTTCCCTCTCTCTTTAAGATAGATTTCTATGACATCTTTTACATTGAATTTTCTGAGTTTTAATCATAAACTAATTAGAAACTGTATTTATTCTTAGTAACATTAAAATTCAAAACAGGAATATATAAGCGGGTATTTATTCAGCCTGACCAAGAAACCCATTTAAAATGGGTAATCTTGATATTTGGTCAGCTTTTGGGAAGTGGATTGGACTGTTCTTCATACTTCTAACATGTAATTAGTAGCTTCAACTTTCTGTTCACACACACATTTTCATACACCATGAGATGTTGGTCCTCAGCATTTATTTCATAAACTAACTAGTGCTATTTCCAAACTAGTGTCGACATATAGTAGCATACAATACAACCTGTTTTGTTTTTTGTGGGTGCTGTTTAGTACTGTAGAGTATCTGATTAAAACCAAAATAGTGACACATGAGAAATTGCTGTCAGCATCTTTTTATAGTCATTTTATTTGCAGTTAATGGCAAATTCCTATTTTCCCTGAAGTGCCCCAACATGGCCAGGCAACAATGTTATAACAACACCACAGTAAAGGTTTATCTAAATAAATAATTTTGAGTAACTATTATTTTTCTAAAGTTTTTCATTAAAGCCTCAAAATAAAACAAAAGATGAAATTTTAGATGTAATATCTTTAAATCAATTGCTACAATGATTTCAGGAATTTCCTAAGTGCCATTAATAACAATTAGAACTTATATATATTAGTGCTTGCATAATGTATAATAAATACAGATTAATTTTAACTATTTTTCAAGAAAAATGGTTAGCTTTTGCAATACATTGTTTAACAATTCTATCAAATCAGATGTTAGCGTAGTTTTGTTTTGCCTGTGTACTTTAACTTTCAATTGTTTTTCTTATTCACTGAAACTTTAATCATTACATAAATATAAGTTTAAACTTGTTAAAATCTTTAACATGAAGGTAGGATTATTTTTTTTTATGTAAGTTGTTTAACTGGTGCCGTTACATGATAATTCTAAGTTTGGTATGAAAATAACAAAATTTGTAAAGCTGAATGCATTATGTCCAATAATAGCCTTCTCCCTGTTTATGCCAATGTTTCAATACTAATTACTTTTCCCTTTGATCTTCTTCGGTGATCATTACAAATCAACTGTAATTTTATTTTAGATTCTTCTGAAGCTAGTCGAGCCACAGCAGCTCTAGCACTGCCTCCTGGAGTCACAGAGAAAGATGTGGACTTATTTAAACGTGCTCAGGAAAAAGCTCAGCAAGCCCTACTTGAGGTAAAAAAAATATTATTTCTACATTAATTTATAAATTTCAAAATGTTTCAGTTTCTACTCATTAATCATTTTAAGTATTAATGTGATATATGTTCTCCTTTAGTACAGTTATATTTTCTTAAGCAATTGAATGACCCTGCTTTTGATGCCAAATATTTAAAATGTTCTCTTAATGCATCCATCCATCATGTCAACCACAGTCCGGTCAATATGTCTTTGTGAGCTCGTGTTTCACCAAGGCTACTTGGCCATCCTGGGTAAGACAATAAACTACATCTGACAGCAAGGCCTCTGATCAGGAGGTTTTGAGGAGCATGGAACCACCTCTTAATTGCTGGCATTCCCAGGTCCACCCTGATCTAGAGTTGTAGCACCTGTTAGGGTCCCAGGTGTGAGCAAATTGTTGACCCCCAAACTGGGGTCAAAACACTATGAAAGTATAAAAATAGATTTAATACCAGCAATACATTTTTGTGAAAGGTTATTACCAGCAATGAATGTTTTGAAAAAAAATTATCAGCAATACATTTTTGGAAAAAAAATATTACCAGCAATAAAAAATCTTCTCAGCATTAAATAACCCATTGAGATTGATATGGCATAAAACAAAATAAACTAAACCAAACCAAGACTACTTGGTTTTGAATTCAGTTTTTCCTTCTCTAGACTGGTTGCAAACCACTGCTAGGAATTCTCACCTGCCCTGCTATTTAAACTCCTAGTTGTTGGGAGAAGATTGATTTCATACCCTTTCGCAAGGGCATTTGTACAACAGTGTGCATAACAAACTTTGCCGGAATTCAAGCTTGGCTCGCCAATTTCTCATTTCAGGCTGCTAACCACTATGCCATCTGCACATCTTATAATCTAGGCACCTCCATTTTGTTGCTGAAAAATCAGCATAGAATGATGAAAAAAGGCCTCAACCTTAATAAAAACAGTTTCATTGTCAAAATGTTTGTTATTATTAAGAGGAAAGACTAAAATATTTTTTTATTTTATTAAATTCTTTAACCATTTCTAGCACTTTTGAAATTTTGGTTAAAAATCTTTAGAAATTCTTGCAAAAATCATATAATTGGCAGATTTTAATGAAACTTATTTACAAATTAGTTTGTTTTTTTTTTATGTTACACCTCCCCTCCTCACTCACTTTCAAGAAATTAAATTTAAATCTCAATTTTATTAGTAAAAGGCAGGGCTTCTTGGAAAATGTAAATCATTTTTTTTTTTTTGCAACTGCTACTTATTTCTTAACTATCTGCTCCAGATTGTAAAATAAAAAATGCAATAAAGCTATAACATTATTTAATTAGAAAATTTTAATTGCTTTTATAAATAAGATTAAAGTTGCTATTGTCTTAAAAATAAAATGAAAACAATTCTTGTAAAAATTCATTATTCACCGAAAAAAAATTTTTTCTTAAGAATTATAATAATTTAAATCCGTTTAAAATTCTGCATTATTTTAAACCAGTTAGGTGATTTTGTTAAGTGAAAACTATATTTATGGATCAAAAATTGAAAAGCTTAAGTCTTTTGCATCAATATTTTCAAAATAATTTTTTAATATAGAAACATTCCCATTTTCATAAGTGTGGGAGTCCATCACGTGTTTTAAGAGTTGTCCTCCCTGAAATATTTAGCCGTTTGCAATTCTTTGTTTCATTGTGTTTGTCTCAACAGGTTTTGCAAATCATCCCTTCAAAATTTTAAACTTTGAAGTAACTTTTACTTTTTTAATTCCTATTTCACTAAATATTTTGTGTATTTATTTTAGTGTAGGTTGTACTTCAATAAATAATTTTTTTTTTTTTTAGTTTCACTTAGGTAAGAAAGAACCTGGAGACGAAACCCAATGTAATATTTCCTTTCAAATTTTTTTTACTTTAGCTCCTATTGCATAATTTTTTTTTTTTTTTTTTTTTTTTTTTGTGAGAATTATTTTGATAAAAATGTAAGGCTTATAAAGCTAAAGTAACTAAAATTCAATAAAATATTAGATAATTACTGAAAATGTTAATTTTTTAAAAATACTTGGTAGTTAAAAACCAAAAACAATGCGTTCACTTACAGTTTGTAAATTTGTCAATTTCTGGTCAACTATACTTAGCTTTTCAGCATGTTAGGCTGTCAATCACTCAACACAGCAGAAAAATAAGACCCTGTGGTTAAGAAATGCTTGTATACTATGTTTTATGCTATAAGTAATATTTGTTTCAAATCAGATTAATTTAACTTTAAGTTTGCTAATTTTCCTCAAATAACATGTCACAGAGATATATATATATATATATATATATATATATATATAATATATTTTTAAAACCAAAATTTTTAAAACTTTTTTGCTTACAAGTGTGTCAAAATGGCCAATATTCGTTTTTATTGAGTTTTCTGAAAGCAATCAAAAAGTTGATATTTCAATCATAATTTCTATTTGAAACAACCAGAGTATTTTACTTACTGAAAATAGAGAATTTAATCATTTAACTTTCAGGTAAAGCTAAAAAGAAATGCTTTTCATTTTTAAAAATTCATTTTAAACCTTGGGTATCGAAAATTTAGTGAAGGTCCATGCTATACTTGCTCTTAATGCAAAATGGGCTGAAATTAATTGAACTAATAATCAGCTTTCATTATGGGTTAGTTTCATTGAAGATTTTATGTGCATTCAAAATGGACTCTACTTGTGTATGTATTTGATTTAATGCCAGCATTTTTATTATTTTATGAACCTTAAATTAATATTGTTTTAATTGTAGGCATCTTGCAATGGGTCCGATAAGAAAAATACAGCCAATGGCAGCAGCAGTGGTGGCAGCAACACCAACAACAGCAGCAGTAGTAGTAGTAGCAGTAGTAGTAGCAGTAGTAGTAGTAGTAGTAGTAGTTCATCTGGTAGTGGTGCAAGCACTTCTGTCACTGCTTCCACTCACAGTACTGCTTCTGCTTCTGCAGCTGCAGCTGCTGCTGCTGCCATCACCACTGCAACACCTACATGTCCAAGCTCACCTTCATCATCTCATACACCTCCAGATACTCAGGGACGCTTTCCTCCATGTATAGAATTTGGAAAATATGAAATTCAAACCTGGTATTCCTCACCATATCCTCAAGAATATGCTAGGTATGTGTCATGTTTTAATTTTGATATTGTGCTGTAATCATTGCAGCTTCAGTATTTTAATACGGGCATATACAATGACTTAAGCTGTTAATGTGGTTTGGAGTATAAACTGTGAAATTTGATCAAATTTAAAAAAAAAAAAAAAATACTAACCTTGAAAAAATTGACTGGTTTGATAAATCAGTACAAAATCGCAGTACAATATCCTTAATCCTTTTACTAGCATTTGCTCTATATTGGTATGTAATGAAAACCTGCTAATGACTGTCATGTTCACTTAAACATTTTTTTTAAAAAAGAAAATGCATTTGCTAATACTGCATTGCTGTGTATCACTTGAGTATCTAAATAATGCAATCTTACAATAAAATAAAATCCTACATTTGTTCAATTTTCACTGTGAGCAATGCTCTGAAAATAGTGCCTCTTATTCCATGAAAACTACAATAGATACAAGGAGCACAATAACACTGTTGGCGAAAACACTTTCAGCTACAAAATATTATTTTTACATAAATTGCCACTATTGTGCATTTTCACTAACAATGAACAAAACTTTTGATTTTTGTGTGCTGAATGTGGCCACTCACTCACACACACAGCTGTCGGTACTGCTGAAATGCATTATGCACCAACTGAGTTTGTACACTCTTCCCGGTCTCTGTAAACATTCAGCAAGTGTCAATAAGGGCTAATGGATGTGATTTATTCTCCATATAGGAGTTCAATGATACACATATCTGTATACACTTTGATATCAGTTGCCTGATTGCTGCTGTAATAAGGGGAAAAAATACTAAGTTATTGGCAGGAAGTCTCAGCTTCAGCAGCCATTCCCCCAAGATTCTCTGGCAAGGTGAAACAACATAACAAAATAAGAAGTATTACTTTTTGAGTGACGCTTGGATAATAAAATATTTTCAAATCATTTTCTTATATGTTGCAAGAGCATTTAAATTATTTCAAAATTTAATATTTGAAACTTAATTTCATTTAATATTAAACCTGATTCTCCTGCTAGGGAATTGCACTAAACAGTAAATAGTTATACTCGGTTCCATGAAGCTTTATTTTTGACTTTTGTTGTGTTTACTTGAACCTATTTCAAATTTATCTTTTCTGAGCACTTGGCTTTAAATTGTGTAAATATTTAGTATTGTGTGTTTTAACCATCCAATCAAAAATAACATCAAATTGATATTTTTATCTAAACTTTACTAGTGTTTTCTTCAGTTGTGAATATTGTATATATTTTCCCATTTGTTGTTATACTCTGTTCTTTTGATTGTCTCACAATGCAGTAAACTTGTGCTGTAGGACTAGCACTTTATCACAATGAAATCTAGAACCAAGCTTATGTAAGTTATTCATGTCGGTAATGTAATTATGTACATTTTCTTTGCTATAAACTCAAATTTTACTGGTTTTACTTATCAAAAAAGAACATAGCCCTTTAAAGAGAAAATATTATGAAAATATACTTATAGCAATATTATCAACTATTAACACTCATTTAAAAAAATGCTACATTATGTTACCATTTTTCTACAGATCCATTATTTATGAATGTAACTTATCTCTTCCGAATAGATAAAAATCAATATACACTGGTGAAAATAAGTTTAAGACTGATGGTTAAAGTTTTATTCATTTCAGAATGTTTCTAATAAAACAATATAATTAGTTTTATTGTGTATGCTTTATGTAGAATTTATTTCTCTTTCAAATGATACAAAAATTGTATATTTTTCAAGAGCTTGAAAAATTTTAATGCCGGATTAATTTAAATTATCCACTTTGAAAGAAAAATAAATTTTGCATAAAGCATACACAATAAAACTAATTTATATTGTTTTATTAGAAACTTATTCTGAAATGAATAAAACTTTAACCATTGGTCTTAAACTTATTTAAGCCAGTGTATATACAAAATATGCATGATATACTTTAATATTTGAATATTATCTATTACTTCATTACATGTGATACATATCTAACCAATATGAACTAACCAAACACAACAAACCATTAATCTGTGACTCATTGCTTTTTATCATTTCTATCTTGATCTCTGATGAAACTTTAATAAAGTGAAACATGTTAGGATAGGAAACAGATGATCTTATAAAGATCATGGCGCAATTCACTCCTCCAAGAATTTGAAAACTGCATGCTGTACTGCTTGGCATTCATGCCAGAAACTCCAATATAAACATTTCGGTGTTTGAGTATCAATCTCAAGACAGTGCAGAGGATTCAGAAAGAGTTGGATGAGTCTAATGCTGATTACAAAGATACAGCAGCTCGGAAAACTCTCTGATCATTCTGATAAAGGAAATCCCGAATTTGTTGGGGAGGGCCTCACTCAACACCGAGCATTACATCAAGTGCCTTGATGAGGTAGTACTACCCTGGGTAAAGAGAGTGGCTTCTGGAAGACATCCTGTCTGGCAACATGACACTGCTCCATGTCGCACAAGTAGGAGAACCCAGTCATGGCTGTCAGACAATTTCTGCAGCCACAATCACCCACTTAGATCTGGTTACCCAACACCCCAGACTGCACCCCCCTTGATTATAATGTGTGGGATGTGAAGTCAATAGCAATTTTATTGAATAAATTTACTCTTTAGTATCAAGATATTTTGGTAATTTTTGTAAATACATCTGTGAAAATGAGATGAGTGTTATTTTCATTTTTGCATAATAAGACAATTTATCTATCGCACCATGTGTATATATGAATATTAAATATTGCACATTTTTGTATAGAATAATTATCATGACCACTTATGATGTTGACAACAGTTACCTTTCCAACTATTTCATCTGTGATCACTTGTTACATCAGATGGCAAGTTATGTTCCCAATATTGTTCTGCTTCTTATCTTGGAGGCAATTTACAATTATACATACTGGACGTTCCATTATGTTGGATCTGATGCAAAGGCTTGATTTAGTTTCAGTCGGGTTACAACAAATATCCTACTAGAAATTCTAATCTCTAATTGTACTAAAATATTTTAACTCTATTAACTATTATTTTAAAAAATTTTTAAAGCCAGTTTATTGCAGCTAACATTTATCCTATCTAAATTTTGTTCCAAAGGAAGGTTGTTTTTTGTTTTTTTTTGTTTTGTTTTTTTAAATAAAGGATTCTTTTTTCTTTTTTTCTTAATTTGTTTTTTATTTTTGTAGATTACCAAAATTGTACATATGTGAATTTTGTTTAAAGTTTATGAAAAGTCGGAGTATATTACAAAGGCATATGGTAAGATTTTTTTTTTTTACTTTGTCTTAACAATAAGGAAACTCAAAAAAATAAAATGAAAATGACATTAATCTTTTTTATGATTGTCTACTTATGTTAATATTTTTATAATATGCTTGTAGAGAATTATTAGTTATTTACTCTAGTTACAGCCTATTTCAAGAAAAGTTTCTGCAAGGAAATTTATTTTCTGTTTCTCCTTTCAAAGGGCATTAGTTTTGATAAAACTGAGTATATAGCTGATTCATTTTTACTGGATGTTAAATGTCTAAGGAGTGAAGCATGTGGAAAATTTTTGTTGAGGCTGAATTCTGACTTTTATGCATGTGCAATCAAACAAATGAGTAAATATAGGTATTTGACTACAAAATTAGCACTAGGTTCTATTAAGTAATGACTTAATTGCTAATAGTTTACTTACTGCATTCTAACTTAGTTTTGTTCATTTAGCACACATTTTCTCAACTGTTATGAATAAGTGACAATTAAAAATCAGTGCTGAAAATTTCTAATCATTTTGAATCTCTATAAAAATAATTAGCATTGATTTGTATAAAAAATTTTAAATTGTCTATATTTCTGTTAGGAGGCTAAATATCAAGGATAGCATGTTTGCATGTGTATACAATGTATTGGTTTCACATTTTAGCTGATCATTTACAGCATGAAACCAAGTCATTATGTAATGTGTGTACACACAAGGGTTGCTTGATATGGTCTACTGTATAGTGTTACAATAGAAGATTAATATGTAAAGTTCTGTTAGTGTTGACTTGCTGTGTGATGGTATTATGTAATAAGCCTTTGTTAGTAATTAATACATCTGTTTTGTATGTAAAGCAGAGATCAGTGATAGCTTTAGCACAAGTAATGTCTGCCCATCCTAATTCCAGATGTTATGAAAGTAGGGACCTCCACTGAATTTTCGATATCTATGGTTTAAAATTAATTTTTATAAATGAAAACACATTCTTGAAGATTTCATTTTAGCTTTAATTGAAAGCTAAATGATTAAATTTACTATTTCCAGTAAGTAAAATATTCTGGTGTATTTTAAATAAAAATTATATAGAGATTGGAATCGCGATTTTTCAGCCAATTTAAGAAAATTTTCTTAAAGGCAGCCATTTTCTTAATTTTAAGAAAATTGTAAACAAAACAAGATTATCAATTTTAAAAACTTTTCCAAAAATTAAATATATCTGTGACATGTTATTTGAGTAAAAATTAGCAAATTTAAAGTTAAATTAATCTGATTTGAAACAAACATTACTTATTTATAGCATAAAAAATATAGTATACAAGCATTTCTTAACAGTGGGTCCTCTTTTTATCATGCCTTTATTGATGTTATCAGCATCACCAATAAAACATAATATTTTATCTAACATTTTAACTTTTGTTTACATTTGAAGATACTTTATGAAAAAATAATAAAAATTTAAAATAATATAAAATCACATGATCTTTTTAAGGATTATGTCATGTATAGGTTTCCATAGGTAGAAATTGGGAATGTTTAAACACTAAATTTTTTTTTATTTTTATTTTTAAAATTTAAAAAATATTGGATTACAAACAACTGTCAACTTTTCAATGTTTGATTCGTAACTGTACTTTTCACTTAACAATATCAACAAACCACCGCCTTGAAGCAATACAGAATTTTAAACTATTTTTTAATATTTTAAATTATTTAATTAAAATTTTAAAAAATAAAATTAATTTTTGTAGAAATTAATTAAAGTTTTCTTAAGACAATAGTGTCCTTAATAAATCTTGTTTATCAAAGCGATTGAAAGCTTTTCTAATTAAATAATATCATAGTTTCATTGCATTTATTACTTTACAATTCAGAGCAGATTTTTGGTGAATGGGTTAAATGTTTTACGAAAAAGAAATTGTTGATTTACTATCTACAAGGAGTCTTGCTTATAAAAAAAAAAAAATCCCCACTCTTAAAATATAATTTCTCGAAATTTCATGAAATTAGGTGAGTGGTAACGTATGGGGGGGGTACAGAAAGTTTCATTAAAATTCCATAATTATTTGATTTTTGAAAGAATTTCCAAATCAATGTTTTTCATTGCAAAAAGCACAAAAAAACCCCCAAAAAACTAAGCTTTATCTTTGGTCCACTGGCATTTAAAAAAAAAAAAAAAAAATTTAACCAAAATTTCAACCATGCTACAAAGGAGTTAAAAAAAATTCAAAAAATAATAAAAATACTTTGGTATTTCCTCTTAATAATAACATAAACATTTTGATGACAAAACTTTGTTTTTATTGAGTTTGGGGCCTTTTTCCATCATGTATGCTGTTTTTTTATGCGACTAAGTGGAGGTACATATATGAAAGTAATGAAACTTTGGGTGTAATCAAGCAATGCATCAGCAGAATAAAGCTTGCAACAAAGCACATCAGGTTTTTAGTCATCAAAATTGAAAGGTCAAACTTTTTCATCTAATATAGAAGTTCCAGTGCACAGTTGGATCATAATTAAACCAGAAAGTTTCTTCATCTACAGAATGAAGAAGTGGAATGAAAAGAAAAGAAAAAACTTTGGAAAATGTGTAGCACTAAATGGTAACTCTGAAAAAGTAAATAGAAGTAAATTGTTTTTCATGCCAGCCTCATTATTTTAATTCTTGTTTTATAGATTTAGAAAGACTACTTATCAGTTGACTCGTATATATTTTAATATTATAATTTTTAATTAGATAATTTTTGTCATGCTTTTCCTTAATTTCAAAAGATGATGGATACAATATTAATCATGAGCCATTATTTTCTAATTAAAATGACTTCTGCGTTAATTTTATGTTGCTTCCTCTTTATAGTTAATAAGAACTTTTGAAACGTTATCCTGGAAATGTAGTCTCAATTTTTTATTTTACTTTTCAAAAGTAACTATCCTTGACAATTTGTTAAAATTTACCTTGATGCTCAACTTTTGATGATTTCTAAATTTTGAAGAACTTTAATGAATAAATTTTTTACCTCAATTTAGATAATTTGACTGTTAATCTATCTTATTAAGTTATTTTATTTATTTATTTTTTTTTCCTTCAATACTTATGCCAAAAATTGTGCCTTATGACAATTTTATAATGAATTATGTTTCTATTTAAATGTTCTTTGATAAAGCAATTGATGTGAAAGTTGTTTATATAATTACAGGATAAATGTGGTTTGGATCATCCGCCAGCCAATGAGATCTATCGGAAAGATGACTTGTCAGTATTTGAGGTTGATGGTAATGTGAGCAAGATATACTGCCAAAATTTGTGCCTCTTGGCAAAGCTGTTTCTTGACCACAAGACACTTTATTATGATGTTGAACCATTCCTATTTTATGTACTTACATTTAATGACAACACAGGTTGCCATATAATAGGCTATTTTTCTAAGGTGAGTTTTTTTTTTTATTCATTAGACTTTTCAATTATTGTAAATTGCTTTTTTTTATTATTATTTAAACCTATCATAATAATAGTAACTATAAATGTACAATAATTTTGCATTAACTTTAAAATAAGTTAACATTGGTGAATTTAATTTTTTATAAAATTGAAAAATTCAGTGAATTTCAGTAATAAATTGTAAGTTTTTTTTGTTTTGTTTGTTTTTTTTTTTTTTTTTTTTACCTTTTTATATTTTTAATTCTAGGAAAAACATTGTCAGCAAAAATACAATGTATCTTGTATTATGACTATACCACCATATCAAAGAAAAGGCTATGGTCGATTCTTGATAGATTTCAGTAAGTACTCATTTTTGTCATTTAGAGAAAAAAAATTTATTTGAAGCTGCAAGTTGATACTTTAAAAATGCTATGTAGTTTAATATTATGGCTAAAAATTCATTTAAAGCATATAAAATGCCAATTTCTTTTTATTTCAGGTTATTTGTTATCTCGGGTAGAAGGGCAACCTGGATCCCCTGAAAAACCATTGTCAGAATTAGGGAAAGTCAGTTATCAAGCCTATTGGAAAAGTGTCATGATTGAGTACCTGTATCGATCTAAGGATTCTAAAATCACAATCAAAGGTAGAGAAAACACTCCTGGCATGGTCTCTTTTTAAATACTATTCATTTGTAGTAATCCTTTTTAAAACCAAACTTAATTGGCAAAACTAATATATATCTCCAAGTACAGTAATATTATGTATGACAATAGAATCATATTGTAAGTTTGTATTATCATTATTATTTATTGTCCCTTTAATATATTTATATTCACACACACACACACACACACACACACACGTTATTTTTGTGTTTGTACATATTTTTTTGTGACGTGAATTTTTATATATATGTGTGTGTGTGTGTGTATGTCATTTTTCTTTGCTTTGTTTATAACCCGTATTTCAACTACGTTTATTTGTATATAGGTACAGGTGTGTGATTGCTTGTATATGTTTTTACTTGTATATACTTATCTGATATAATTTTCGTTTGTGTGGCTTTTTATTTTTGTTTTTATTTGTTTGTCTGTTTTTATTTTTATTCTTTTTATTCTTTATTTTGATTTTTTTCTTTTTTTTTTTTTTTGTGTGTCATTCTTATATTTGCATGCTTATATATTTAATCATATTTACGTGTTTGTCTTGTCATTTGTAACATCCCTTTCCCTGTCCACCTTATTTAAATTCAGACTTCCGTGTATCTAATATGTGTAGTGATCATAGATACTTTTTACATCAGTGTTGAGTTTAACTGATAAATTGGCACTAGGCTGAGAACAATAAAAAAATATATATATATAACGTCATCCACAGACACTGTTTCGCTGTTTCACAGCTCATCAGTGTGGCTAGACATCCGGTTGCCTCTAGCTAGGATCGAAACCTGACTGAATTGGTGTCAGTCAGAGATTCTAACCATTAAGCCGTCAGCGCACGGTAGGGATGAAAGTGGATTTTTTAGCGTATTTATTTTTAGAAACACGCCCAGTGACCGACAGTGACTAAATTCGTATTTGATCTAACCTTAACTTTAATGCACTAATAGTTTGTATTTAGGGTATGCTGTCGCATTTTGTGGTTTGTTTGTTTTTTTTTGGTGGGGGTTGTCATCAGCATATACTTGTATTCTGATTGGCCATCATAGGTCACGTAACAATGTTTCCCCTATTCAGGGGGTTTGGTTGCTTTTGAACTTTTTTTAAAAAAAAAAAAACTCTTCATTCTGAGAACACCATCACTTGACAAGGCACCAGTTTTTAATTTCATTTCACAAATTTTTCCAGGGTCTGCTTCTTTGCTAATTAAAATTTACATCTCTAACTTGTCACATAAACATTGGAAGTGGGGCATTTCAACATGGTGTAATAGTTAGCAAGCTTCTCGAGCTAGATCAGTTATGACTAAGTAGAGAGTTTGATCCTCACTGAGCATACCATACTTTCAGCCTTGTGCCACATCTAAGCTATGCTTAAAAAATCACTATAAACATTGAGAGTAATTGTTTTGTAGCTATCATTAAAATTGCTGGGATTTTGTTTCATCTCTGCCCCTCATTGAGACATAAGTGCTAGCTTTTTAAAGTGCTTTCAGTTTTTAAAAGTTCAATATTGAAAAATTGAATCGCATGATGTGATCATTGAAAAAAAGTTTTCTTTCTATTAACAGTTTCATAAAATTTAATTCTTATTAAAGAAAAGATTTTTCCCTTTTATGTAAGACTGACAATTTTTTTTAATTCTTGTTATAAAATATTAAATAACCTAATTTCAGTATTGTCATTTTAATATGTTCTGTTCTTTTAATATTTTTTTTGGAATACATAGCTATCAGCCGTGCCACAGGAATGGATCCTCATGATATTGCTACAGCACTTACAGCTCTCAATTTGGTCATTAAAAAAGATGACAAGTATGTATACCTTTTCTTCTATTCATCCAAATATTCTGCAATTTAAAATTTTGAAAATTATGGTTCTGTTATATTTGATGGAATATGACTTTCTCATTGCTATTTCAGCAGGGAATATTACAAGAAAAAAAATAATATATTTACAGGTTTTGGGGGAGAGAAAAAATGAATCTTATTATATGCCCTAATATAATGCACTAAAATAGTATGCATGTTAAATGTAAATATTTGTTGAACTAAACCAACTCTTTAACAGGATCATATATAAGCAGAAAGAAATAAGTAATCTTTTAGAAAACTTGGGAATTTATAAAATTTGAAAATAAGTTGGGTTTTTTTTTTTTTTTTTTAAGATAATTAAGTAATTTAAAATTCTTAGAAAAAAGGATGGCTTTGCAAAATATTTGGTTATATTACAAAATTATTTTTACATCTTCATGACTGTTTATGATTTTGACTTGTTTAAATAAGGCTCCCTTTTAGCAACCTAGAATCCTTCTTAATTGCCAATTTGTATGGCAAGTCTGCCCTATCCATTATTTGACAAATGTTTGAAAATTAAACTTTATCAACCTCATGTTCCATAAGACTTTTCATCGATGTAACTGACTTTACAGTGAGTGCTTTCAAATTTATATTCATTGTGTGTTACAGAATCAATTGGTATTTTATCTTCATTTAAAAACTAAAAAAAATTTCTGACTTGTGAAAATGATTCTCAACATGACACCAACTTCCAAAATTGAAGATGCAAAAATAATTTCATAGAATTAGAACAACCATCTGTTCAAACATTTTTGTTTTCTCTTTCTAGAATTTTAAATCACTAACTTCTCTTGTCTAGTCTATTATTGGATTTTACAAGTTTGTATTAAACTTTTGCATTTGAAATTAAAAATTAAATTGATGTAAATCTTTGGCTGATGAAGGGAATAGAAGTCCTGAAACATGCATCAACATTCAATAAAAATTGTTGTAGAGTTTTTTTGTCTACAACTGTTTATTTATTTTTACATTAATGAGGCACCAAATTTAGATTAAATGTCTCGGTTTGTTTTTAACATCCCTTACTCTCCAGCTCCTAAATGACTAACTTTGTGTACTTGCTATGTTGTAGAGTTGTTATCCTGGTGAATAGGAAACTAATCAATGAACATATGCAGAAGTTAAAATCCAAATTGCAGCAACGAATTGATGTAGACCCTGACTGCTTGCGGTGGACACCTCTTATTTCTACTCAGCTTTTATTAGAGGAAGAAAAACGAGCAGAAAAAGAGGTAAGTAGTTTTCTTTTAAATTATACATTGTATATGTATATTCCTTTTTTCTTTTTCTTTTCTCTTTTTTACCCTGGAACATATCTATTTTACAAAATTGTAAATCTTTTTGTTCATTGCAAATTGCGTAAAGCAGAAAATTTATTTTGTAATATTTGATAGCGGTTTTGTTTCATATTTAATCTTCCCTTTGTATAATATCTATATTAATTTTTCAATGTACTTTTTCAAATAATTCTTTGTTGGTATTTCTAGTTTGTTTCTTTTTTTTTCTCTCTCTCTCTCTCTCTCTCTGAGATAACATACTGAGTGGAGGTACAGTTGTGAACATTGTACTTGCTTTCAAGTTTTAATGAAGTGATATTTTAGAATGAGTTAATAATAATCTTATTTTTAAGTGTTGATAATATTTATCCCAATTTTAAAGATAATATTTGATTAAGTGATCCTACAAATATATATTTCTGGGTTAATGTTTTACTTTGTGATTAATGAATATTTCAGTTTGCATTTGCATAAACGGAGCTTATTGATAAACTTTCTAGTCTTACATTTAACAATCTCTCACATATCTTTTAAAACTTCAAGCAATATAACCATTAATTTTCTTAAAAATATGAAGTTACCTAAATATAGCGATACTATATTAATGGCTGACAACCAGAAGTAGTTGTCTTTGAGCTGTTTAAGAACAGTTTAAATGAGATATAGTCAGTGTTTTAGTTAATGCTTTAAATAGTTCCTTTCAATAAGATATGGATAGAAACGCTTATACCACAGGAAGGAACAAATGTGTGTTATAAAAATAAAAATATTGCTATATTAAGGTGATAAGCTTTATACGACCATATTTATTAGTATATTTATCTATTTTACTAATATCTCACTCCTACTTCAATTTAAGCATAATGAAAACACATCTGTTTTGATTGTTAAAATTCCAAACAAGTAATCAATTACTCTTAACATTTGATAAATCTTATAACTTGATCATATAAATCTTCATATTCAGAACGACTTTAAAATTTTATTTATGCAAGTCAATATTTTCACTGTGAAATTGGTATTTTCCAGAATAAAATATTGTGTCTTTCAGCTTGTAATATCTATCTTTTATCAAAATATCGATAGTTTGTTGATATTTTTTCACTCGCTGATTTTTAATGTTTCAAATTTGACATTACTTATAGCTGTGTTTTTTTTTTTTTTTTTTTTTTTTTTTGAATATTGTTTCCCCTTTCTCATATGCATCTTTTAATTATGAGCCATTTGTTTTCTATTAGAAGCATGGGGGGTCATTCCATTAATTTGGTGTCTTTAAAACCTCTTTTGGTAAAGTAGACAATAGGCAGGTTTGCAGAATACAGAGGAGTATTTTCTTATATGAATATATTCTTTTTACTTAAAGTTTCTTGTAATACCCAACGCACATCTTGTCCAAATTGTCTGCATTTATCTTGGTATCCTCAACTTGGGTGAGACCTTTTTAATTTTACTACTGACAAAATTAGCTCAAAACGTTACTATATCTCTTCTACTGTTGGTTGGCTATTTTCATGAAGAACACAACCTTTATCTTAACTGTTAGGTTCATCAAAGATAGCTCTACATTCATTACTAAAATTACTCTTTAGATATAAGTTTTTGTGTACTTCTTTGACCAATTACACTTTCTCTTTGTGGTGTCTACTTAAGTGATATAGTTTGATTGCTTTCATTTCTTTAGCTAATCTTCTTAATATTCTACATCTTTACTCTCTGTTTATTTTTGCAACATTCTTCAATTTTTTTCTCCAATCTCTTTGATATTCTTAAAGCTAGTTTTTTCTTGTTCTTAACTTGTCAGTATTTAGATTATTCAACTTTTTCACAATTTAAGTTGTGTTCCCATCACTCAGTAACTTTCTTGTTTCTCTTTTAGAGTTAGATCTTTCTTACAGTCCATGGCAATCTTTAAATTAAGACAATATTAATACTTATACTATTACATATTTATTTTCAATATTATGAACAACCTTTTGAATTGCATATTAAAATCCCATGCTACTAGAGAAATTATATATCTAATAAAACCTCTTAAAACCTGAAATTCACATAATATATTGCTCACACAAATCTATCCTGAAAAAATTTACCAATATCATTTGGTTAGTACTAGTTTTATTGTGAAGACATTGACTTTCATAAAAATCTGATGTTTTTTTTTTTTTTTTTTTTTTTTTTTTTTCTTAGTAAATGTAATGTTGATATTTTCTGCATAACTGCAAAGATTAAAAAAAGATTCTATTGGGTAGAGATGAGTTTTTCATATTCCAATTAACAAAGCCTAGAAGTTTTGAGCTAATCATTTAGCTTGTTTTAAATATGCACAAATATCCAAAATATTTTAAAATGTAAAAATGCTAATTTGTAAAATTACATTTAATTTAAATAACAGTGTCTTGTTGACTGAATGCTCTTTCTCTCTCTCTGCACACATAATTGCTTGTGTTTTGTACCCAGAAAATCCTCAAAGTTGCCAAGAGGATAAAGAATAGAAATCTAGATTGATTGTATGGACTATTAATTTTATTTATAATATATGATAATTAAAATGCTGAAATGTTATGGTTTGGACAGTGGTCAATAGAAGTACAAGAGATGGAGTTTTAGTAATAAAAATAGTTTGACATCTGTAAAAATCATAGTGGTAAAATTTTTCTTTTTATGATTTATTTATTAACACAAAACAATTTATTATGGTTTTTAATAAAAAGGTAATTAAAATTTAATAAAACATCTTTATATATTATGTATAAATTTATCTATTATAACAATGATATACTGAAAGTGATTTTAATTTCTATATGTACATTTATTGTGCTTTGAATTTCTTTTGAAAATAATAACCTTTTTAAAAAAAAATTTGTGGCACACTGGTTGAAAATTACTGCTTACATATTAATGACTTAAGAGAACATAATTACAATTTTACTTAGATACTATTAGCATACAGTGTACTTTGAATATAAAATTTAAAGAATTTGCTTGAATAAATTTTCTGCTTTATTTTTTTTCTCTCTCTCTCTCTCTCTCTTTATTATACCCATTGACCCCTCAAAAAAGATCTGCTCTTCCCATTGGATATATTTTATATAAATGTTCAAAATGTGGGGGGGGGTATTTTTCAATTGCTCATTGTTCCAGAAAGTGTAAAGATTTGAAGTATATTCAAGTACATGATTTTGGAAGGTGTCAGTTGTAGTGTTGGTGTTTCTCAATTGAGAAGATTATCAATATGTCAAGAAAAATGTTATCACAATTTGTTTGCATGATAACTGTCTATTTCACTGATCTTGAACTGAATTTCTTGATAATTGGATATGTGGGTCATCCTGATCAGCCTGTGTGTGGCATGGATGCTGTTGTAGTTCAAATCCAGGAAAGAGACAGGCTGGAAATAGCATGGAGACATCAATGAGAAATATTGGCTTTAGGAGAAAAAAAATCATTCCAAAATTTTATCTTTTTATTCATTGAAAATAATCCTGTTTCTTGGCTTTCCCTTTTCCTATATTGTGGGTGACTGTTAATTAATGTCCATGTTTTTGTTACCACTAAACTTGTGTAGATCTCTTGTTTTTATGTATATGTCACTCAGTCAAGTGTCTTCATACCCAAGTAAATTTCTTGGATATCAAGCCTTAACCTACTATCTAAAAGTAATTTTCACCTTATGGTGACTGAAATAGCCTTTTCTTTTTCTTTTTTTTCTTCCTCCCCATATTCCTTATCCTTACCTTTGTAGCCATGGAAACGGTAGTTTTCATTAATAGCCAGATTAGATCCTTTTCTTTTGATCTTTTAAGTTTGACCCATTTTTGTGTGTATGTATATATATATATATATATATACACACACACACACATAACTTCCTACTTCAGTAAGATGGTGTCTAATCTGGCTGCAATGCTTATAACTGGTATCATGTATGGCTTTGCTGTTCCTTACAGTATGCTACAATCTTATCTTTGATTTTAAATCAGTTGAAGCTATGAAATTCTCAAAAATATAATCCATGAATTAAAAATGTCAAATATTGAAACATTTTATACTTAATTTGTTGCATTGCACTTATATACTGAGATCAATAAATAACAGGCTAAAGATATGTCAGCATTTTCAATTTAAATAAGCATTTTGCATCTCCATTTTATTTCAAGTTTAATCTCTGATACTGATACTTTTTAATGAACTGATGATCACTATGAAAGATTCTTTCAAATGTCTCTTTTAATTATTAATGCTAAATGACTGACACTTACACTATTCAAAAACTAAAATGCTTACTGTTTGCTAATTGTATTTTATTCTTATCTTTAGTTATTTTTTATATTTTTTAATTAAAATGAAATTTGATTCACCTTGAATCCGTTTATAAGAGGTTTTTTTTTTTTTTTTTTTTCCTCTAGCTACTTCCTTTGTATCTGCAAAAATGTGAATGTCAATGTGTGATCACTTAACAAAGACTAATTATTCTGCTATTTGTTCATCTGTGCCATATGACATGTTCCAATGTTCAGAAGTAGTTGATATCCATGCTTTCTTTTGGTGCTTACATTTATATCACTTTAAAAATTAATTTTTTTCCTAACTGGAAGTAATTATATTAGTTGCCTGTTGCAAATACAATTTGACCATAGTTGGAGTTAAAACCCAAAATTGAGTACATAAAGATTCAAACAAATAATACATTACTCTCTGAAAGCCATATATGCTATGTAGACAAAATATTTGGAATGATTTTTTTTTTTTTAAAAAAAAAAGCCTGTTCTTATTGATTCCCATGCATTTTCTTTCCTTTTTCTTTTGAAGTATGTGACCGTGGTAGCTGGCGAATACAGGAAGACTGGGGTAGGTGAAAATATCCAATGAAATAGACAGAATGCAAAAAACTTACTAAAATTCATAGTAACATCATCAGGGCTATTTGACATTTTGTTTGGTTTTTTGTTTTTTTTTTTATCAAAATAAACAAAAAGTTAAAGTAAAAAAATAAATCTAAATTAAAAAAAAAATACCTTTCAGTTTTGGTTTGTAAATCATTCAGCTACTTATTGTTGCTATGAATTTTGTCTGGCATTTTTGTACTCTTCTAAATTCTTGAGGATGTCTGATCTGAACACTACAACACACTGTTCACTGTATGTTGGTGTGTCTGCTATGTAGATGTATAGTACTTTGTCTGGGGTGTAAGATTAACTTGATCTGCAATGGAAATTGACATTCAACCATTTTTTTGTTACTCTCTCTCTTTAACAAGATGATATCAAGTGAAGACTTTTGTCTAAAAGAGTTCCAAATTTTTTGCTAATTTTGTATAGATTCAGTTTTATAATATAACATTTTCTCTTTATTGAAGCAAGATTTGTTTCCTTCCTCTCTCTCTCTCTCATCCTTTCATTTATAAAGGAATAGCATTTGAAACTTCAGATAATGGTTGTGATTTTTTTTTTTTTTTTTTTTTTTTAACTTTTATAATTTTTAAACCAAAAAATATGATCTTCAAAACTCTTGGGCGTAAATTCTCAAAATTAACTTTTTTTTTTTTCTTTTCAGTAGGATCGATAAACTAATACTATACTCAATTAGATAATAAATGCTTAAACCCCTGACAACTTAAATTCAAGTATGTTTTATTCAAGAGAAGAGTTCAGTTATTAAGAATTTATTTTTCTATAAATCATCTTTAAAACATTTACATTCACAAATTGTAGATATGAATCTTGCCCAAATTTAAAGTTATATTTTTGGTTGAATGATCAATTCTCTGTAATCTACATAAAGTGAAGAGTTTTGAATATAATGGGATGTATGTATGCACAGTATCTGGTGTGCGTATGTGTGTTTGTTTTTTGTTTGTGTGTGTTTGTTTTTTGTTTGTGTGTGTTTGTTTTTTGTTTGTGTGTGTTTGTTTGTTTGTTTTTTTTTTGTTTTTTTTTTTTTTTTTTTTTTTTTTTTTTTTTTTTTTTTGTTTTTTGTGGCTGCGATTCTTAGCTGAATACTTCATTCTCTTCTGTCTTCGGTTGATTGCACAATGTGGTGACCCTCTATTTCCAGCGTTGTGGTTACCACCCTCTGCCGCCGGTTGCACATGGCAGCCCCCGGCACTTTCGGCTCACACACGAGGTGAGTAAATATCTATCCTATATCCAAACCTGCCTCTGTCTTTTGTGGCTGGTCTTGATAATGCTACTGCTATCATCAGTGCGTCATCCTCTTGAGTTTGTGTAACACTATACTTTGTTGCTGCTGCTACTGTTGTTGTTGTTGTTGTTGCAGGCCAACCTCACTCTACTGCTAGTTGTCACTTCAACACTTGGTGTGCTAAAATTGCTCTCAATCAATTTGGGTTTTTGGTTTGATCTCTCTCCTCCAACTTCATTAAATAGCATTTTATTATTTTGTTTAAAGTTTGTGTAGAAAAGTTAAAGTTTGTGTTTATTATTGTTATTCTACAGTTTGGTTGGTTATTTTGGCATGCTTTCTTTTATTCTTGTTTGTGCAGTGCATATTGGTATAGATATCAGCACTTTCATTTATTAGTCTTGTGCTTATGGAATGTCTGAATTTCATTTTTTTTTTTTTTCTTTTTTTTTTTTTTTTTTTTTTTTTTTTTTTTTTTTAAAAAAAAAAAATCTCTATATATATATATATATATATATATATATATATATATATATATATATATATATATATAATCTAGGCTTTCTTTTAATCTTTTATTAAATATAATGAGCAAGGGATTTCCCTTAAGCCTTTTGATGATTTTTTTTTTTTTTCTCCTAACCCTGATGAACCAGTTGATGACAGGTATGGACTTACGAAAATTGTGACAGCATTCTAAATAATAATTAAAAAAAACATAAATAAAAAATGATTTTTAACCATCATTGTGGAAAGTAGAATTCAAGATATAATTATGGTGCATTTATACTGTTAATGATTCAGAGTTTGAAATAAATGATTTCATATGCTATGGAATAGAATAGGTGGAATAGATTATAGCATCAAGTGTAACTACATTTCAGACATTTAACATCCAGGGAAATTCATCAAAAGGCTTAAGACATTTTTTTTTTGTTGGTTTTATTTAATAAAACATGTATATAGACTTAAGGTTTTGTTCACATACTTTTTAATTTATCCTCTATTTGGTTAAACTGGTAGCAATTTTATCTTGTTTTCTCTACAAAATTGCTTAAATATTTTTTTTCTGTTTTAATAATCTAGAATTAACCTTTTTTTGTCTTTCTTTCTTTCCTAAAGTAATGTTTTTAATATTAGTGTTTTAATTTCATGTCTTGGATGCCGTTCTTGTTTTCTTTCAATTCCTCTTGCTACAACTGGGTTTCTGTAAAATTTCAGATTTAGCCAAAATGCTAGTTTTAAAATCTAAATCTCTTAAACTGGCCAGTGTCAGCCATTTGGTAAGTTTGGTGTTCAGGTTTCGCATCTGTTTCAGTTAAGCAATGCCTTGAAAATTTATTAATGTTTATGTACATTTAAAGAGTCAGTTGCTTTGTTAAAGATGTCATCCTAAAAACCAATGTATTTTGGTTGATTTTTTTTCTGTTAAGATTAGTTTTTAGATTTAATACTTGAAAATGAGAATTTATTTTTTGTATTGAACTGTGCTAAATTTTGTAGTAAATAAAAATATCCATTCATATTCTTTATTTTCCCTTTAATTTCTTGTATATTCAAGTAAAACTTAAATTTTAAACTTCAGTATTTAATAATTGGAATTGCAGTCTGCATGAGAGTAATCATTTTCTAGAGTTACTAAACCAGATATATTATTTATCATTCTGAAATTTTTATTTTCAACTTTATAACATATCAGCTTGTAGAATTTAATTTCATAGTACTTAATAGCTTTTGATTTTTCTTTCTTCTCACCAATCTCATAACTTCTGTGAAGTATACTTCATCTAAAAGGCCTCAAAAAGTGAGATTCTTATATGAAATTCTATTAAACTATTTCCCTCATTCTATAAATCATTTTTAAATACTAAAAATAACTTGTATGTAATTCAGGCAGCAGGCCTTTCTTCTATGCATGTTTTATTGATATTTTATACATTATTTTCAGTTTTTATAGTGTCCTTTAAAATTTTTTTCTTCTGCACACTTAGCCATCAAAAAGAAATAATAGAGACCCTAAGGAAAAAAAAAAAATGGATAAAAAAAAATCCTTGTCCGTTATATTCAACGAATGTATTTTATTTATTTTTATATTTATATATACACGCGTCATGCGCAGACAGTACTGTTTCACTGTATCACACGGCTCCTCAGTGTGACTAGACATCCGAATGCCTCAAGTCAGGACTGAAACCCTACTGATTTGGTGTCAAAGTTTCTACCACTACAATGATCATCACTCTGCAGAGAGAAACCGCTAAATCTAGCATATTGCTTTTACCAATGTAAACAAACGCCAATCAGTCAGAGGGCTCCAATTCATTTTACTGAAGAGCTTTGCATTATGACACATTATATAAGTTGCTGCAAATGGGCTGCATAACTTAATTATTGAATAAAACCTACTGTTCAAACTTTATAATTGCTTTTCTTTGTTAGGTTTTGTGTGTTAAATTACTAAAAAGGGAGGGTCACACAGACTAAATGTATTGTTTATCACTTATCACATTTTGGCTTAGATATGCATGAGTTAATTTTAAATTTTATTCATTTCATTTGAAAGTCTTTTTCTATTAAATTTTAAGTTTTATTTATTCCTGACAAAATATAAGTTACTTGAATGCATGTTTTTTTGTTTGTTTTTTTTTTTTTTTTTTTTCGCTTACAGACACACACACACACACACATGCACGGTGTGTTGTGACACCTTAGCAAGAGTGAAGGTTGTGCACAGAAATAGATTCTAAACACTAGCATGTTTCATTACCCATTCACTTGTTTATAGTTATTGTTTCCTTTTGTGTCCAGCTAAAAAAGTTTTTAAAGCAATATTAATAATGTTTTAAGAGGATCAGTATATTTTCAAAATAAGTTGTTTTTTTTTTTTTTATCCTGATTTTATTATTGCAGTAGATTGATTTGTAAATTACATTTTAGTAATCTTTATACAAATGGGTCATAAACATTGATTTTACTCTGAAAATTTTACTGCTGTTCCAAAATAAAGTGCTAATTGTAATCTTAGGCAAAAAAAAATCTGCAACAAAGTTTTGCTAGATAATCTTGGCTTGCACTACTAACCTTAAAATAATTATTTAGTCTTAAAAAAAATCTTTTTTCCTCTCCCTCACACACCCCTCTTCATCTGATAGTTCTCTTAACTATTGCTTGTTGCTCACTTAATTGCATGGCAATCTTACATAAATATTTTTCATTACTCAAAATTATGAGTTTTTCAATTAGAGAGTGGAATGTCCTGATGCTTATAGCATAATTTTATTAGATTCTATGTAATTTAAAAATATATCCTAGTATCTTTTAAAAGAAACTCTTAGATGTTGGAATAGGGTTTTGATGTTTTCTCTTTTTAGTTTTCTTGATTCATGCTCATTTTTAGTTGTCTGGTTTTTGTTTTCTACTGATTGTTCTTTTAGGCAAATTTGTAATGCAAAATACTTCATGCTGATAAATTCTTTTTTAAAAACATCTAAGTGGGTAAAGCTTTTTATTTACTGCTGATTAACCAAGTTTCTTTCACTCTACTGTATTTTGTTTCTCTATTTCCAGTTGTGTGATTTGCACAAAACTAAAAATATTCACACACCCCCACTCCGATTATCCCATTTAATAAATGCTCTCTCTCTCTCTCTCTCTCTCTCTCTCTCTGCCATCTGGAATTGATCCTTGCACATCATAGCATGGCAAACATTTCTTCACTTTGGCCACTAAACTCTTCCATCTTGGACACATTTATGATCTCACCTCAGCTGGATAACTTTTTATTCTATGGTGTTTTTTTTTTTGTTTTTTTTTTTTCTTCCTTCCTCCTTATATTGTCATGACCTGTATGATAATCTGTTGATACCTTCCTAAGTAAAAAGTTCAATTTCATATTTCTTTTAATTTTATCATTGATTACAAATATAATTGTTTATTGTTTTTAATGTTTCTTTATAAACTTTGTTTTTTTTTATAAATGGTTTCAGAAAAAAAATAATGCTTACATACTAACAATTATGATGACAGTAATTCTATCAATTTTGGGAGCTTGGTACAAATATGTTTATATATCAATTTTAGTGGTGGTTATTTAATATTTCATTAATTCTCCTTTGTCCATTGCAGCTGAAGGAAATGTCTCAACTTGTCAACAGCATTGATGAAGAAGAAGAAGAGGAAGAGGAGGAAGAAGAAGAAAAAGAAAAGGAAAAGAAATTAGCAGGTGAATCTGTAGAGTCTGCTGCAGTTGCAGCCACTGCTGCTACTGTTAATGATGACAATGATTCTGCATTAACAGAATCTAAAAGACCCTGCAAGAAGAAAAGTGAACTGGAACAAATTGTTGCAGTTTCCCAGCGAAGGAAGGTACTAAGCAAACAATTTCTTTTATGAGTAGAAGCAACAAATCCTATTTATATTTTGTATTGTCACTACCTGACAAGTAGTAGTATTTTCTTTTTAGTGTGTGTGTGTATATATATATATATATCTTATTTCATACCACAAACCTCTAATCCATGGCTTGGCCTTTCTTCTTGAAACAGCCTCTCTCACCATTTGTTTTTGAGATCTTCAGATAAAGCTGGTTGACACCTCTGTCAAACCAAATGAATCTGGTCACAAGGAAGTCAGGATTTAAAAAAAAAAAAAAGTAATGCCTGCTTGATCATAATAATAAACACCAGGTTACAAATTTCAGTATTAACTTTTTCTTGTTTTGCAACACTTTTTTTTTTTTTTTTTTTTCACACTATGGCTGGTCACTCATAATTCACTGGTTTGTTGAATTAGTAATTAGTGCCTTCAGAGAACTGTGGTATTTTGACTTCAGAGTTGGTTTCCAATTCTTTAAGAATTTTCAGGTTCAAAAAAAAAAAGCTGAAAATCCTTCGCAAAGCAAGGGTGGTAGAGGAAAGGGGATTGGTGGCACCCCTAACCTCTTGGCAACTCTACTCAGCTCTGCAGGGACTCTCATCAGCAATTTTCAATTCTCTCTGCTTAAGGTCCAAAATTGCCTTTAAGTTAGTTTGCTGAATGGATGCTCATTAAGTCATTAATTTATTCACTTCCGTGCTCTTCCAAATTTGGTTTGCTCAATTCTCTATCAGCATGCCTGTCACTTGCCTACAAACTTTTTTGGTAAAGCAAGAATGAACAGAATAAATCTCTAACCCCCCCCCTTTTTTTTTTTTTTTCTAGGGTTGTATGAAAGCTCTGTATATTTGTTTCTTAAAAGAAAAAAATGTAGAGGAAGCAATAACACCTTCATGCATTTAATGTCTGCTTCAGTGAAATGGTATAGTAATATGAAATATGCCAGCCCAAAAGGATTTGTATGAATAATAAAAATGACCAAAATGAAATTTCTACAGGTCCCACTCTACATGATGAAAGGAAATCAATGTCATAAAAACCTACTTGAAAAATTATTTTGACACAATATACAATATATGACTGTATGGATATTTAATTAATGCTTACATTTTATCCCCCTTAAAATGTTAAAACCATGTTCTAAGTGTCAACGGTAGAATTTCTCTGGGTCTAGCTAATGTTTTTATTAATTGATAAAGAGACTCACAAACTGTGTCCTACACTTACCTCATTTTGGCTTAAATTTTCATTTGTTCCATGTGCTTTTACTTAGCATGCCTTCATATATTTTGCCAACTTGACTGGTTTATCACTTACATTATATGAAAACAGTTTTCATACTAAACAAAACTCTATGGCACAGGATGCCAATGATAACAATTTTTAAAATTCAGTCATTGTTAAAGATAGTGTTAGATGATCCTTTTCACTCAAAGGAACAAATTTATTTATTAACTTCAAAACATGATAGCATTGTGATAAGTGGTTGTGTAGTAAAATTGAATTTAATGCTGAGAAAATACAAAATGCACTCCAGCTTCTAATTGCTTTATGCACAAATTCTGCTTCTGTTAGCAAAAGTTGAACTTGCACCAAAACAACTAATCTAGACATTGGAATTTAACCTTCGAAATTTACAGAAAAATGACTGTTTTAAAACTGACCTGACATTGTTATTTACTTTATGAAGTTATAGGCAATGTAATTTAGAATACAGTAGAACCTTATTGTCAGAGATAGATAGGTAGGTTTCAATTCCTCTTGCAGATAATGAAACAACAGCCATACACACACACACACACATATACATATATATATATATATATATATATATAAGAGAGATTAGGTCAAAAAGTAATGCCAGTTCTTCACTTGACTAATAGGTGAAGCACACTAAACCTACCAAAAATGAGCTTTTGGGATTTCAAATTTCATCCTCGTAATATCCTTCTTCCCTGAAACCCTAAAATTCCCCCAAAGATTTTTTTTTTCTGCTTGAGACACCAGGTTGAATAATTTACTTTGGTTCAGCAAGGTGTTTTTAGTTCTTGGTCCAAATAAAGTGAATGTAGATATGCAGTCCAAATTTTTTAATTGGTATAGTTAGAATAGAAGAAAATCGAAGACGAACTTGGGTTTGTTTCTTAATGGGAGGGATCAAAATCTCGGATTTAGTAACTGTAAGTCATATCTTAAACTTGCTGGCCTTTTTTTTTATCTTTTCTAGCCTGGCAGGAAACCTAAGGGAGGACGTAAACGAAAAATCACCACACGATCAGCTACAGACCAAGAACCAAAGAGATTAAAAACTGATGAAACAATAGCCAAAAAAGAAAATGGTAAACTTTTTTCCCCTCCTTCCCCATTTCACTCTAATTTCTCCTGTTTTATTTAATTTCACTTATTGATTTCATATTAAAACCCTCTCTTTCAAAAAGGTCCTACTGAAGGCAGAACTACCAGACGGTCACATCAACTTGCCAAGAAAATGTCAAGTACTTCTCCAGTAAAAGAGCCTGGTCAGTTTCTTGAATATCAATTCAGTTATGTTTTTAAAGAAAATATTTCAACATTTAAGCATTAATCTTTTTAAGTTTTTACCAATAGAATTAATGTTTTTGTTTGTGGCCTGATTTTAGGCTTTCTGAAAAGTTCTTGTTCTGGACAAGTAATTTAAAAAAAAAAAAAAAAAAAAAAAAGAATTCATACTTGACCAAATTTTCATAAGTGTTTTCAGAATGATAACTTTTCAGCATCCCACTCATATTTCATTGACATTTTCAAGGTAGAATAAACTGTTTGATTTTTCATTTTTGATTCAACTTGAGGAGTTGTGTACTTAATATGATTGAAAATATTACGCATAAATTTAGTTTTAAAAAATGTTATACTTTTTCCTTCAAAATATTGAAACTGCAAGTTTTATTATTGCTGAAATCTCAACTGATAGTGAATATATTAATAACAAACTTAAATGGTGTCATTTGAAAGTACTTTGGATGATAACGTTTGTAATAAAACAATGCCTTTAATATTAATTTGAAGAAAATGGTACTTGAATTATACATTTGATCAACATTGTTTTATTTATGATAAACTAAAAAAAAAATTTAATCCCATTAATGTAGTTGAATTTATCGTAGGTTATGCAACCATTTCTATGTACAAGCTGCACAATTGACAGTAATCAAGATTCAGTTCATTCAATTGTCTACATGTTTTGAAATTTGTTCTTTTCTAGTCTCTAAAAAAGATTCTGAGAATTCGCTTGATGATACTAGTCAAACAGCAACTTCAGATCAGTCCACATCATCAGTTAATGAGAAGAAAAGAGGAAATTGCAAAGAATCTGCTCCTGTTGCTGCTCCACAGCATGAAACATTAAACAAAAAAGAAGGAACCTCACAACCTGAACGCAAGAAAACGAGAGGTTGGCCCAAGGGTGTAAAGAGAGGCCCTCCTACCAGGCGGCATGGAAGGCGACATGGAAGACGGCGAGGAAGACCAACTAAGGTGATGCTGTTTTCATTTTTTTTAATTCTCAACTGATATTTTCTCTTCATTATTACCATCTTTTATTAATCTTTACAATTTGCCTAATTTGCATGTGACAAAGCAGTTAAATAAAGAGGATGAAGAAATAAACCTATTTTTGGTCTTTAGCTGTAAAGTAAAATCTTCAGCCTGATTGTAAAAGCTAATGAAACCTAGCTGTTAGTTTGAGAATGTACTTACATATGTCTTACATAACATTTTCTTTTAGATGTTGCATCGAAAATTTGCTGAGACCACCCCCAGCACCACAAGTGAAGGCAACATTGCCACAGATGAGCAGCAAGATCAAGATCAGAATCAAGATCAAGATCAGCAACAACAGGAACAGGAGCAGCAGCAACAGCAACCACAAGAAGAAGAACAGCAGCAACAAGAACAGCAGCAACAGCAGCAGTCCCCTGTGGAAGAAGAGAGCCCTGAACCAGAATCGGAGAACACGAGTGGCAGCAATACAAACAATGAACCAACAATAGAAGAAACTGCAGATAAAATAGATGATGTGGACAAAAGCCAGTTGCCTGTGAAAGCCTATGAAGAAGAGGAGCAGCCATGTGTAGAACCTGCAACTAGCCATCAAGCTGTTGTGTCTTGCTCTGATGAAGACGAAGATGATGAGGATGACGATGATGAAGAGGAGGAAGAGGAAACACCTGTGGTAGAATCTGTGATGTCTCCACCTGCAGCATCAACTGAACCCAACTGCCTTGATCCTTTGCCTGCTTCTGAGCAAAATCTGCAAGAATTACAGAATACTACAATTAAGTCGCCAGCAAATCAGCTTGAGTCTGAAGATGAGAAAGATGATGATGATTTGAGCAAACCTGACAACGAGCATTTGGTTAAGCAACCAACTTGTAACAACCAGTCTGATGAAGAGGATGGTGATGGTGATGATGAAGATGATGATGATGAAGAGGAAGATGGCGATTCTAGTTCGGCCGAAGAGGAAGATACTAATCGGTCGGATATAGAACTTGAACCTTACACCCAGCCAAATGCTATTGTCAGTGATATTGATGATAGTCCAGCTCCTCTGACGCCTCCAGTCAGGACTCCATCACCTGAAGAAGAATCTCCAATTTCATCACCTCCCTGTCCTTCTCCAGCTGAAGGCATCACCTCACTTAACCAGAAAAAGATTGATATGGAAACTCTTGGTGATGCAGATGAGAGTGATGATGAAAGTGATGATGAGGACGATGAAGACGATGAAGATGATGAGGATGATGAAGATGAAGAAGAAAAAGGAATTGAAGAAATTTCAAAAGAAAAGCCCAAAAGTCCTGTAACACCTGTAAAACGTCAGATTGATGATGATGATGAAGATGAAGAGGAAGAGGAAGATCTTGATGAATCTGAGCCAGAGGCTGAAGGGCCTCTTCCTTTGTCTGTGACAGCACCACAGTCTTCATCTCCTGTTGCTGCTGAAGATACGCCGGGTATTAGAGAGGACGAGTTATCACATGATTCTATTGATGATGATAACAGCCCTGATGCTGATATTCCAAGTGATGATAATTTCCAAGACTTCAGCAGTGACAATAACACTGTGCAGGGACCACTGAATGGCCCACAGAATTTTGATGTTCTTGCTAAGGAATTGCATAAAAACTTTGAAATTGAAAACAATACAACTGGAGATTTGGGTAATGACCAACCACTTCCAGCACAGCAAGAAAATTTAAATATGAACAGTTTAGAGGCTCCTCCTTCGGCTGCCTCAGGAGCATCTCAAAACCAAAGCTGCAACAATGTGGGTGGTGTATTTACACCAACCCCTAGCAATACAATCAATAATGTCCCCAATACAAATCTTTCAAATGGAGGATTTGGAGCTGTGGATATAGATGTCACTCAACTAGGACTAGAATCACCCACGTCAATAAGCAGCAATGAAATGCCTGTCAGTTCTGTGGAAACAACGCCTACTCCAAACTTTCCTGACTGTGCTCAAGTGCAGAGTTTTTGTAATAACTCTGGGCCAGGACGTTTTATGGACACTGTCAACTCTCCGCAACCAGTGAGTAGCACCGGTTCCTATATGCCTCCCAACACCACAGTCAACTACTGTCATTCTGTAACTACATATACTGCTCCTTCAGTGCTCCTGCCACAGAATACACAACGGCTCAGCCACACGTCACCACCCTGCAGTTTGCAGCATGCCAGACAAAGTCCGAATTATCAGACGAACGCAAGTTGCAGTCTGGCCAAACTGCAGCAGTTGACTAATGGCATAATGGAAATTGTTCCTGAAAATACAATGACCCCACCTCCAAATTTAACGCCACCCCCTGTGAATATGACTCCACCCCCAACTATGGTACGAAATATGGCAACGCCTCCCATCCCTACCCTACAACCCCAGATGAACCAACAATACAAACAATTTCAACGCCGGCCATCTAATGTCCGCAAGAGTCCCAACGTGCCGAACGTGACGGTCAATCCGAACATGACATTTTCCCCTAATGTGACTATCCCCCAACCAGGCATGATTGCACGCTACAATGTCATTAATGGCTATCGCATGCAGCAATCCATGATCAACCCTGGTTATATCTCCAACCCCAGTTTCATCAACCAATCACAATTGCCAGTACAAATGAGTGTCGTTAATATGCATGCTAACCAACCATTTCAACAACAAATCCAACCTTCACAATCGAACAATCCTGTTTATACAACATATGGTTACCTAAATGCAGGCCTCTCGGCACCAGCACTCAATATGAATATGAGGCGGTAGTAAATACTACTTGGTTCTGTACATAGTCATTAAGTCCATGTCACACAAGTAGTGTTGCAAAATGCGGTCCAGTTGGCTTATCTTCCTTGCCCTTCATGCTTTCGAGCATCCTGCTGCCAACACTGACCGCGTGTTGTTGCATCATTCGTTGTAAATATCATCAAGGTGCACTCATAAACATTGTCATCAACAACATTTGCAATCTGACAGTTACATTACATGTACAGAGAAGGCAGCCTATGAACAGAGTTTGTAAAGAAGGCTGAATTATTGTCACTTTTGGTCAGACTTTATCCCTCTTCCTCTACTCCTCGAAATTATTTTTTGGGGAATAAAAAGTAAAAAGATTACTTGTAGTGTTTAAGTCAGATCTGATAGTTGGGAAGAATAAAAAAAACAAAAAAATAAAAACAAAAAAAACACAAGTGACCTATGTATAATTTTGTGCTCGGGAAGGGGGGTGGGGATTGTGTCCAGTATGTTGTGCTTGGGCATAAATTGTGTGTCCAGTATGCTAGCCAGGAGGGCACTGATGTGTTGTGCTAGGCAGTCAGTATGTTGTGCTTGGAATTAGTGAATGGGCTCTAGTTGGAGACAGGCTCCAGTTTTTACTGCAACTGAGAACAATGGAGAAGCTGGAGATTGGCCACTTGGTGTTGCCAATGATGTGATGTGTATCTCCCCTCACTTGGTTATGTCTCCAATATAGACGACACTAACTGGACCTCGGGCCAACTTGCTGTTACTGCGTCTTTGTATTTCTCCTCTATTCCTTCCACTATGTACAGTTTCCATTTAATTTTTGTCCTGACTAGAGTCAGCAGTATATTTTTGATTATTCAAATCCTCCTATAAACGTAACAAATTACGACAATTGGTTTTAGGAGGCTAATTCTTAAAATATATATTTCACTTGTATTTTTATTTTTATTTATTCTTTTAATCTGTTTTCTTTGTTCTTAAGTTTGCCATGATTTCTGAATCCTTCCAATCTCTTGCTGCTTTGCTACTCTTGAATAGTGAACATAGGTTTTGCTCGTTAATGGATGTGACGGAAGTCTAAGGACTCTTGTCCTTTAGCCTCTCCATCTCGTTAATGGTTAGTTGCACCTGCATGTAGATTGTGTGCATCCTCTTTTAGACATACACTTGGTGTATGACAACTTTCTGGTCTTAGAGGTACAAATCAAACAATGTGTAAATTTATATACTGTTGAAAGATTAGGCTATTCTCTAAGCATGCACATCATCCTCATCATCATTCTCATCATCATCATTGTATGTATGTATGCTTCCTGATGCGTTAGAGAGAGAAAATATGAATCATTTTAAATCTTGTTGCCTTGTGTTACTGACATAGCAATGTTCCCATAGAACATGTCTAACCATACATCCTTTCTTCCCTCTCCAGTTCCCTTAGGTTTTCATTACTATCCCCTCCCTTGACTTTGGGGATTGCTGAACTCTCCACTATCCTCAGATTTGTCTTCTAACAGTTAGCTTCACTGAGTGCCTTTGATTCTAGAACCTCTCGATTTTGATTCCAGACTGTTGTCATCTTCCATTCATGAAAGTAACAAATAGCAATTTGCCTGTCTCTTGGTGCATACATAAGCAACTTTTTCCAGCACTTGACCTAGTTAGCTGGACTGGATTTGGATCAGCCACCTCCCTCTTTTTGTATGTAGTTGTATTGTCGGTAATTACTGTCATTCCTTCTACGTCTCTAGCTGTTGTCATATTGACAACATGGGAACTTTTAGTCCAAATAACCTTGCTCAGTTTTCATATGTAAAGTTTACTTGCTGGCACAATATATAGATATTTTGATTCTAAGTTTTGTGAATGAAAGCTCTGTGCAAGATGGTTTGCAACTGGAGTGTCCTCTTCTGCTCACTGTAGAAAGGTGCTATACCAGGCTCCCAACACTCTTCCCCTCCTGTTACCAAATAAATTTTATATTTTGTGTTTCAAACAACACATTTATTATTTACTTCTGAATTATCAATTGTGTGCTTGTATTGATCACTACTTACAAGTTTCCTTTCAAGAAAAAAAAAAAAATCCTTTCTAATTAACTAAGATTTTTTTTTTTTATAGGCCTGCTAAACATAACTGCATTTAGTTTAAGTTTAATCTAAGCCCCATTCATAATTACTCTATTTTGGTAGAAATATTCAGCATGAAATTTCTTTTTAATTTCATTGAGATGGTACATTCATAAGGTGACCAGGTGTCACCCTGTCTTTCTAACAGAAAGACTGGAAAATAACTTTAGCTGATCATTGAATTGAATAGTAACAGTTCATATTAAAACTGTACCATGTTTTTTTTTTTTTTTTTTTTTTTAATCTAAACTAATCTACATTTATTTATTAAGTCACAAATTTTGACATTCTCTAATTTATTTTCGATTCTTTTTTTGTTTTTGTTGTTTTTTTTAACTCTTCCACTTGCAGTTATTTATTAGCAGACCTTTTTCTCTAAATTGCAAATTAATAGTTGCATGTAAATCAGTGTGCCAATTTGTAAAGAGAAACTATTGCTTGCTTGCCAAATTTCTTGCAGATTTACAAATTAACACACTGTTTCTGACAAAATGACTCAACACGCAGTTTTTTTTTGTTTTTTTGTTTTTTTTCATTGATATTTTTTTATTTCAGCAATTAGTTTCCAGTCTATTTAAATTATGAATCAACTTTTTAATATATTTCTTTCCTCTGTGACTTTTTCCTCATCCTCCACCATTTCTTCATTTGGCTGCTCCTCCTCCTCTTCTGATGCAGCTGCTACATTGAATCCTGGCACATAAAGCTCAGCTGCTAGTTGGAATTTCTCTGGAGAAGGTGGGGCAATGATGTGGATTTCAGTAATAAATGGACCTATGGAAGAAAATTAAACTCAGGAATAAATTAAAAAATATTTTTGTGTGTAAACATGCACACAGTATTAGTAAATGATCTTACCAAGTTTCTCACTTCGACCTTGGCAAAGTTTATCTACCAGCTTTTGGAAATTTTCTAACAAGTGATCTTTGTTCATGTTCAGCTGAAATGATTAACAGAAAATGTTTTCATTTGAACAATTGAAGAAGAAAAAAAACAAAAAGAAAAGCAAGACCTGTAACTCGAAATCTTAGTAAAAACTCTTACTGACCTGTCCAAATGGGACTTGTAAACTGCCAACATCTTCATAAAGCTTCTTGGACTCATAACTGACTCCAAACAGAAAATGATGCAACATAGCCTCCACATCATCACCTAAAGTTCCTGGAAATAAACTTTTAATGTGATTCATTCATCCTTGCAAGAGTTATCTCCCTCTTCAATTAAACTAACGCTTTATTTTTATTAAACTTGGACCCAATAGGATTTGTCCTGAATTTGATAATTTTTTTATATAATATATAAAAGTTTTGGTTAAAGAGATTTTTGTATTTATGAAAATGAATAATCTAAAGTATTGAGATTGTAGAGAGAAAAAAAAAAGTTCCAGGAAAATAGCATACCCTTCCTTTGGTGAGGAAACTTATCTTTGAAAATGTGTCTGAGAACCATCAATTCAGTAAAGATCCCTGGTGTACACAAAACTTGATCGTACATGCTTCTGGCAATGACTTCATTTTTCAGCTGAAAGCAATACAGAAGTTTACTTTTTTTAAAATAAATGTACTACAATAGTTAAGATGTAATTCATATTTTCAAAATGTACTCTTACCTGTGTAATCAGCTCGACCCCTCCTGCAAATGAAGCCCCTGCTGAAAGAGCCTTCTCCACATCTTCAGTTTTCTTTAAAAAAAAAAAAAAAATTAATCAGTAAGTGGTGGAGGGAACTTTTTCAAATCAGTCTACCAATAAGGCAACTTTTTCACACTTAAATGTTAACTTCAGCAAGAATAAGAGTAAATGTTCCTAAAGTTACTGGCTTTTTTTAAATTATAATAAATATACTTTGCTCTTCTGGTTTTGATTATTAAGCTCTGTAAAAGAAATAAACAAGATGGTCTGAATAGCAAAGTATGTTATGATAATTTCTCAAAAAAAAATTAAGACAATGACTTACATCAGATAACACAAGACAGCGAGGTGGTGGTCCAGAGTCAAATTGGTGAGGATACAAAATTGTACTCTTTACATTAGCCAAGAATTTAGTCTGAATGAGAGGGGGAAAAAAAAAAATACACTGAAAGGCTGACAATAAATTAGAAATCGGTGAATTGATGTGAAATGGTTTAAGAAAAAACTTCACACTTGGAAATTTATAGTTAAAATTAAAATGTACTTTATTGTAAATTAACTTAAAATTACATGAAGTAAAAAAAATTTTTTTTTTTTTTTTTTAGTGAAAAAGGGTAGCAGTTTGATACTCACCTTTTTCTTTGTTTTCATATCAAGTTGCATGTCTGCATAAATTAAACCATCCATATTATTTAGCATCATTGGATCGGCATATTCCTGGTGTTTGGTAACTGCTGCTTCTAATGTGTTGCTCTGTTGAGGATAGAAGCTTCTAATCCAAATATTGTCAGAAGGTTTTCGGGCAAGAAATTCTGGACTCTCCTTTTTCGGTGTCACTTTCTTTAATGAACTAATATACAACAAAAAAATAAGTGAATCAAATGCTTTTTTTTTTTTTTTCGACATGTTATGGGGAGAGACCAATGAAAGCATAAACAAGATCTTGTTGCTTCTTATGGTTGTCCATTTGTGAATAGGCAAAGGTGAATTTGAAAACAAGTAGTTGTACATGGCATTATGTAGAAAAAACATTTTACAAATGAAATGTATATGGTGTTGGGGGGGCTATAAATTTTCTTTATGTGCTCAAACTGACTAAAATATATTAAATACTTTATTTACAAATATAACATTTTCTTTTAGTTGTCTTGATTAGTGCAAAAACTTAAATAACCAGGAAGATGTTTTTTATCTCATCAATTTGTGAAACAGCACTTAGGTTGTCAAATTGCAAATGTTCTTTCTAGTCACAAAAGGAGAAGATTGAAAAACAGAAGTTGTAGGGACAAATTTGTTAAATTAATTACTAGGTTTCGGTTAAGCCTGCAGAAGTTGTTTCCCCCTTTTTTTTTTTTTAATAGTCAAACAAAACTGGCATTCAGCAAGATCCATCTAATTCATTCTCTCTAGCAATAATAGTGAAGTGAATTTCTGTTAGAAAATGTTTTCAGTGAGTAGAATAGTTATCTACCTTTAAAATTTTTGATTAGAATGTCTTTATTTTTTTTTTTTTTAACCTGTAGGGGAACTGTGATATCCCACAAAAATGGCTTTGATAAGCCCAGTTTAAAGCAATCAATATTTACGAATGAGACAGATTTCTCTAAATTCAAAATGGTGGAGGAACCAATAATAAAAACATCCATCTATTATATGGTGAATTTAATTTTATAGCGCCTTACCTCGAGAAAAAGGTTAAAAAGCTAGTCTGGGAGGAGAAGTGAATTTGATTCTTGCAGCTGCTCCTGTTTTGGCTTTGTGCCAGAATAAACTTGGTAAATATTTTTATTAGAACATGACAAGACTTAAAACACATTAAAAATTTAGAATAAAGGCTCTTTTAACATTTACATAGTCCCTTTCATTCATTATTACAGCCTCCTTGTGTTGATTAAAAGTAAAAAAAAGAAAAATGAGCATTTTTAAGAAACGAGCAGTGCCATTTTTATTTTTTAACCATTATTAATTTTTTAAGTTTAGTTTAGTTTAGTTTAGTTTAGTTTCTTAGTATTAAACTTTATAACATTTACTGGAACCAGATTTTGAGACCTGGAGTTCAATCAACAGGAAAAGCACCAAAAGGAAAGAATATAAAATAAGACACTGACCTTTTTTTCCGTTCAAATACAAAGGATTTTTCTTTAGGAACATTTGGAGCCTTAAACCTGATTCTTTGATGCTTGCAGCAAACTTGTTGAATGGAAAAGGGACCAAATCTTCTTAGGCCATTGCTGTTAATCACTAGGGCCAACATAAGGTGGTTACCAGGAACTATTAAATGAAGAACATGAACATTGCAATGAAAATAGAATCAAGGTATTGTCTGGATTAAAGAAAAATAGATTTGCTTCAAAATCAATGGTTTTATCAAACATTCCACAAATAATTGAACAATTAAAACTAGGAGGAATATTACAAACCTTGAACAACTAAAATGTTGGGAACAAATGTCACATATTATATACTTTACATACGAGTGTGTCTCGTATTTCAAACAGATATCCACTAAAAATGTTTGAAGTAATAAAACGTGTGTTCATACCCACCCCCAAAATTTTTTTTTTTTTAAAATAACATTTGGATTTTATATATATATATATAGGAAATGTTATTCAAAACCAGTTCATTTTGAAGTGGGGGAAAATAAAGCATTGTAAATGACTAGAGATATAAAAATACCATTTTTGTTTCATGTATTAAAAGCCCGTAAAAGAATTTAAAATAGAGTACTATATATATATATATATATGAAAAAAGACAATATTTACATTATTTGTGCAGAATTAATAAGGGCTAATTTTTTTTTTTTTTAAATAAAATGTGCCTTGTTTAAAATCTTTAATCAAATTTAATAAAATTAATCTGATGGAAGTTATCTCCCTTAACACCTAAATTTTTTTATTATAAATGTTTTATTTCGAAGGATATTTTGTAAGTATATAACAAGAACCATAAAACAAAAACTAATAATTGCTAAATGCACATAGCACATCTCTAAAAATAGAAACAATGTGGTAAACAGAATTCCCAGTAAGTATCAGAGAATGAGATATGGAGAAAAAGAAATTCTGGTATTTTTATGGGGGGGGGGGGTTCAATTTTTCATTAGTTAATCATGTTTTACATTAGTATAATTTGTGGCATTCTGAATTCAAGGAGAGAAAATGTCTCCATTCAAAATTTCAATAAATTAACAGATTCCAAGCTAACCTGAAAAAACCATGTATTTATTTGTGTATGTAAGTGTATAATAATTCTAGTTTGTCTATGTGGGATTCAGATAATGTATATTCGTAAGTGTGTCTAGTAGACATTAAGCTTTTTTTTTTTTTTTTTTTGTATGTCCATTTGGGAAATTTTTTTATGTACATACCATTTATTTTAGATAAACATGTTAGATTCTTTAAAGGTTTGTAATGTAATATAATGTTTTTGACGTGTTTATAGTTGGTAATATTGTTATTAATAGGCCCTTTTCCATGAAGGATTCTTTTCTTTTCTTTTTTTTAATTAGGGTGGCACATTAGTAAAAACAAAGTTATGGCCAGTTTTGTTTCTGTGCATTATGAGAAAGTTTGGATGCCTGTCTAAATGTAAATCTTATGTTCATAGATACAGTATTTTAGATTTTGTAATGTCTCCCTGGCATAAATTCTTTTACATTGTAAACAATTTATTTAATAAGTACCAGCATCTGTATTGGTGTTGGATATTTTTTCCTAATTATATCTCGAATTGTCTTGGACATGGTGGTAAATATCTTACTATTAAGGATAACTAATTTATTTACAAGCTTAGTTAAAAAAAAAAAAAAAAGCGTTAGAGAGTAAGATTATAATTTTTGTGTTGTTAGAACTGCTATTGGTAGTGTCTAGTTTTTAGGATTTGTGGATTTTGTAAGCTTGTTTTTCTAATGTTGAGGATGAAATGGTGTGGGTATTGAAGAAGTCTGAATGTTTTCTCAATATATTTCTCTTCTTCACTTAGATATATTCTACACTTCCTATTTATTTATTATCTTATAATTCTGTTGAATTCCAATCTATATTTTATACATATAGCCCAAATTCAAACTAGCAGGTGCAGAAACAGATTTTTCTTCTTAAAAACAGCCATAAAATCTCCACATCTAGTTCAGAAATACTTGAAATTTTAACTGTAGTTGTTGTCAAGAATAAGAAGTTCAGCATAGATTTTTTTTTTTTTCATTGCTCAAAAATTTTACAGAATTTTCCAAAACTTTTCTGTCCAAAATCAAAAACTATTTCATGAGCAATTTAACATGATATAAACTTTTTTTTTTTTTATGTTTATACATTTTTTTTTCTAGATAGAAATATTTTCATAATGTATGACGTCATTTGGATACACATTGAGCAGATATGAATGAATGAGAGAAAATCATGGAGCATTGTGTTTAAAAAGAATAAAATCGACCTTGCTAACTGAACACTCCTCTGTGGCCCAATCGGTTAAGGCATGTCAGGCTATATGACGGTTCCATATAGGATACATGTTTGATTCCTGTTGGAGGACACATTTTCTATGTAAATTTATCAGACATTGAGGCTGGTAAATGTCATTAATACTGTTTATTATAAACAGCATTTACTTAAATATTTGTATCTATAAAAAGAATGTATAAACATTAAAAACAAAAAAAGTCTTAAATAATTGTTGGACTTTGTCCATTTTATATATATATATATATATATATATATATATATAATTTCATACAATCGAAATTAAGATATCATTATGAAAATGATCATTTTCACCTTGTAAAAATAAAATTCACAAGATTTTTTTTTTTTAATAGGATTCAACAGATTACTACCTCCATGTGTGTGTGTGTATATATATATATATATATATATTTATATTTAAAAGAAAAACACTACTTTAAGGTACCATTATAATAATTTATTTCACCAGAGTCCTTTTAAAGGATGCCGGATCATCAGATAGCACTTCCAAAAATAAAATTAAAATTGATGGGTTAGTGTAAGTTTTTGTAACAGAGAGTGTAAGAGGGATAGTTAAAGAGACATTGTAGAGTATAGGGAGGGATTAATTTCATATCTCTCTCAAGTATACTTTGTATTGGGGGAGGAGGAGTGACCAGACCTTGACCCATTTAGACGGTTAACTTAAGGGAAGTGATATATTGAAATGGGAGGGGAGAAAAGAAAAAGGGAGAGGGAAGTAAAGAGAAAGAGGCTGTAATTGGGTTTTAGTAATTTATGTAAAGAATAAATTTTAATGCTTGAGAGATATATATATATAATCCATTAAGAGTTTAGTAAAGTACCAGATAAACACAGCAAGTAATAAGAACTTTAAGAAAGACAAAAAGTAAATTTCCAAGTTGTGTAGTTGGGTCTGCTTTTCAAACTTTTTGACTTGCAGACCCCTTTATATTTCAGGCTTTACCTTAGGGACCCCCCTTATAAACACTTATGAAATTTATACATAAATATTTGCTGAATATAACATAGGCTTTTGCATTAATGCAAAATTATAACAGCCAATGAGAAAGCCAGAAATCGCAAAAGAGATCCCAAATTCAAATCCTTTGTTTTACTCTTGAAGTCAAAACTAATAGCACATTACCCTTCCTATATATGTTAAATAGTAGCAATAATGACCAACTAAAAGTTTAGAGAAAACCTACAAACAAAAGTAAACTTTTATTCTTACCACTGTAATGGAATAAAATCTGGTATAATTATAGGATTTTATTTAAGAGCACAAAGAATCTGCAGCTCCACATATTTACATGATTAAGAAATATGTTAAATATACTTTAATGATAAAGTAATAACAAATAATGAGAGAGGGGTACAAAAAAGATATATATACATATATATGTGATACTATTTGTTGTTACCATGGTAAAATAAAACCTAGGAAAGTTTTCTTATCAATATGCTGAAAGACTTTGGAAAAAGAAAGGTTAATACCTAAAATCCATGGGAAAAGACTGATGATTTAATTCACATATAGACATCACCTGGAATTGTGTGATTCGAGGTTTTGAACAATGGAAAACAACCCACACTTAGAGGGCAATGATGATTGACATGCATTCTACACAGCTGAAAATGCAAACTGTAAAGCAAAAATTTCATTTTTCGTAAACAACAAACTTGCAGTTGATTTTCTCCTGCTCAAAAGTTGAGTTGAAATACCAGGAGGGGTAGATAAGCCACCCCCACTCACTGAGTAGATTGAGTGGGAGGTAATAATATGAGAGAGTGGAAGAAAGGAATTCCCCAGAATTATCGAATTTTCTTACTTCACGAGTTTGCACGAATGTCAATAAATACGAATGCATGGAGCAGATGAGTTGCAGACCAGAGACAAGATGGTAGTGTTTGTCCCAGCCACCAATTATGATACACTCCATGTGATTACCTGACGAAGAGAATGACTTACCAAAACAGTAAACCAAATTTTACCAAGTCAACAACAATATCACTTCCGATTTAGACACGGGTTAAGTTTATAATTAATTACATGCAAACTCTGATATGAACCAATTATTGTACGGAAGACCGATATAAAAACAGTATTTACCTTTGTTTCCCCTCTACATTCTTGTCCTGCTTGGACCAGCCCAACACGAAGATACCTGCAACAATTCAATCTTAGCTGCTTTATGATCAACCTTAAATCACAATGTGGGATAAGTTTAGCTTGGGATTGAAGCAGTCACTTCAGCGACCAACCGCAGTGTTGGAAGTCTTGGACAGCCAAGGAGAGTGCTGTACGTGATATATATATATATATATATATATATATATATATATATATATATATATTTGTTGACTGATTAAATAGTTCTTATACAGTCTGTGCACATGTACATAGATATGGGGGGGTGCTATATGTATATTTCAAGAAAATTTTGTGGAGAAAGAGGAAATATGGTGTGGGCAAGAAAAATTTTTAAAAGTAGATATGTAAAGGAATTGGGAGTCAAGGAACCAAAATTAGGTCATTTATAGATACCCTGAAGGGTTAAATAGACTAGTGGTCAACCAAGGCTAGACAACCCTAAGATAAGGACACCTCTAAATTACAAATCATGGAGAAACCACTTCATTACCCCCCGCCCTCTAACACTCCCAAAGAATGCATGACAATTCACAGATAATAAAGAAAAGGAAACCATGGAGAGTCATGATCACCCATTTCCTTATGAGACATACCAAGATTAAAAAAAAAAAAAAAAATCAATGTGACATAGAA